AAGTCGGAAAAAAAGGGTAAAATAGAAAAACTGGATAAGAAAAGATTAGGGTATATAAATATCTAAAATGATAAAAATTAGATTATAAAAAAATTTACAGATCGAAATCTGCATTTAAACCGTTGGGGTGGAGGGTGTCTAAATAGTATACCCATTCCATCTCTTTTTGACCAAGTTTATTAATAATATTACCACCTCTCCAGTGGTGTGTAAGTTTTGCAATACCCATAAATTTTAGGTTACTGGGATCTTTATCATGGGAAAGAAAGTGAGAGGAAACTAAATGATTTTTAAAACCAATTTCTATATTACAGCCGTGTTCTCTAATTCTTGTTTTCAACTGTCTTATTGTTCTTCCTATATATTGGAGGCCACAAGAGCACTCCAAGCACTCCCCCTGGGAGACCAATCGTGTCTGGTAATGGCTCATTAACTGAAAATGCTAGTAAGTTTTTAGAAAAACTTTTACATTCATTTGTCATCGATTTGGCTTCCTATGTCCAGGACACTAAGCAGACACTATTAATTTTGGAAAACCTGCAGGTCCCCCCATATACCCAACTGGCAAGCTTAGACGTTGTGTTCCTATATAATAACATTCCCCACAAAGTTGGTCTTACAGCAACAACTTATTATCTTAATAAATCAGCAAAATTTACTCCTTCTCAGAAAGATTTTATCTTGACATTGCTTCATATTGTGCTTACCCACAATTATTTGGTATTTAATGGGAGTTATTATTTGCAAATTAGGGGCACAGCCATGGGCACGGCATGTGCACCAAGTTATGCCAACCTCTATCTTGGGTGGTGGGAGGAGACCATTGTGAGCAAGGTTATGGCTACGAATTACGGAGAATGTATCATATATAGGGATAGATACATCGACGTGTTGATATTTTGGACAGGTTCCACTCATACTTTTCAAGATTATGTACAGATTCTCAATCAAAATGATATAGGTCTTCAACTAACCTATGTCATAAACGAACAAATGCTGGAATTTCTAGATCTCAGAATTCTTCTGAATCCCGATGGTAGAGTAGAAACTGAGTTATTCAGGAAAATAACATCAACTAATAGCCTACTCCATTGGTAGAGCCATCATCCTCACAATCTTAAGGCGGGCATTCCGTATGGCCAATATCTTCGTACTAAAAGAAATTGTTCTAGCAACGAAACTTTTCTGAGAGAGGCACAAGAACTTAGGAGACGCTTTAAGTCACTTGGATATCCTAACAAAGTCATTAAGAAAGCGTTCCAACGTGCTAGCTCAGTGGAAAGATCGATAAGTCTTAGAACATCTTGACCAAAGCAAGAAAAACCATTGATACATTGCATAGGTACGTTTGACCGATTATGGGATCCGGTCAGACAAATTTATTCTGATCATTGGCCCATGCTAACATATGATGAAGATTTGGCCAATCACATTTTCAATTTTCCCAGCATTACATCTCGTCGTCCTAGAAATCTATGTGACATATTAGTTCATAGTCACCTGGAACCTGACCCTATTCAACAAACCTGGCTCACCACAACGAAAGGCCTGTGACGTTATAAAACCATTAAAAGTCGTTGAGTGTACACAGACAAAAGCAAGTTTTCCTGTTCACCAGTTTATTAACTGTACCTCCACTAAGATTATCTATGTAATCACTTGCAGCTGTGGATTACAATATGTGGGCAAGACTTACCAGCAATTTAGGCGAAGGATCCTTCAACATATAAATACAGTAAATAATGTAAATATATCGACCCCTGTTGCTAATCATATTAGAAATGTACACAACAGTGATGTTTCAAATCTCAAATTCCATTGGAAATGATCACAATGAATTCCAGAGAAGGGAATTTCAATTTAAAACTTTTGAAGCAAGAATCCAAATGGATACATATTTTTCAAACTCTGGCCCCTAGAGGTTTAAACGAAGAGTTTAATTTCACCCCTTTCCTTCACGGTTAATGCAAGCTCTATCATCTAAACAACTATAGTTCCCCCCTTTTTAATTTCATTTGCTACATTTATTGTGTAATTATTTATTAGCATTAGAATTGTTACCAAATCGATCTATAGAGAGTCTGTTTTGTCAATCTTTATAATGTCATCCACTAAAAAGGCCTCTCATGAATATATTCCTATTATCTATAATTGATATTTTACATCATACTATCACACTTTACGATTATAGGATTTTAGGAGAGACTTGTGTGTTATTATATGTAACCTCATTATATCACGCAGTTTTAAATACATTTTTCATATATGTACAACCTATGATTGGGTAACTGACTGTCCCTTATTGGACTGTACCCTGATTTTTGTTTAGGTATATGTTTGTCACACTATTGGCATCTTTGTGATGCTATAACTAACAGTATAACAATTATGGCAATTTTTCTATTCGTTTTCTATATGGTTGTTGTAATATCGATTCGCCGTTTAGTTTACCATTTGCATTTTTTGGACCAGCGCCTTAATTACTGTCTGTGGTGTAAACGTCTTTTTGTATTGCCATGACTTTTCTAAAGTCAGGAGTTGTGTGTTCAATATTATTTATTATCTTTAATTTCATTTTTATTTTATTTTGATTTAAGTTCTCTTATGTCATAATTGAGGGTCTAATAAATAACTCTTTAATTTATCTATATATTCATATACCCATAAAAAAATGTTATGTAGACACTTTTTTATTTATTTATTTTTTCTACTTTTGTAGATTAATATAAAATATTCGTACAATTTATGATCGTGCAACTGATTGCCCTTTTGATTTTACTTTGTGTATAGCTATGCGTTCGTCACACTAAAGATGTATGTATGATACTACAATCAGCAGCATGATCATCACGGCAATTTTTCCTCTCGTTCAGCATATGGATGTTCCGATACTGCTTTGCGGTTCAGCTCACCATGTCCATTTCTGAGACCAAGCGGTTTATTTATTGTCGGCTGCTGATATGGCTTGTTGCATTATGATTTATATTATCGTTTGGGCACATGCATTCATTTATTTATAATATCACTCATTTATCAAATACACTATTTGCAACTGGGTTATCTATTACATTATTAATTTATTAAATATATGAGTTACATTTGTTTTCTTTTTACTATTAGTATTAATTTAATTTGATTTCTATTTTAGTTTATTCATACCTTAATTGAGTATTTAATAAATAATAATTGATCCACATATATATACATATATACACCAAATCTCGTTCCTATATATGCGTTCTGCTTTTGCAGATCAATTTGGTTAGCAATAAGTGAAACTTTTTAACTGCTTTTTACAGTCCATAATATACAGACCGAATATGTGGGGTCTTAGAATATAATATTATAATAATACTTTTATCAGTCTCCTCCCCCTGATATGGGATATATCACATACTTTTTCTTTTTAATACATTTCTTTCTCACCATATAACAATCTGATTGGGTGATTGAACTTTGCTCCAATCAGCTTCCCAGCCCTTCCCTTTAAAAAAAAACGGTAAAATTCATTACCCGGTTCCCCTCTGATGAGCTGATTTAGCGAAACATGCGTCAGAGGCTCTGGGGAATTGCTGTGTCTATAATACTGCTTGCAGTGATCTCTGATTTCTCTGAATATCTTTTTTTTGGTACCTCTTTTTAAATCCGTTATTATACTGATTTCAGTAGCGGGTGGGGTGGATTTTCATCTAATACTAGGGTCAATTTTTTGTGGAGTAAGGGGTGCCATCGAAGGCACAATAGGGACAGTGAGTGTGTTAATTCCTCCCCCCCCCACACACACTCTCTTTCCCTTCACCCTATCCTGCTCTACATTTGGTTAACTATAGGGATTTTCACCTTCAGCATCAGACTCTTTATCAGACATCTATCTTACAGACGCTGACAGCTACTTTTGCTACATTCTGGATACATTCCTATAGCAACTGAGATACATAATTGTTAATAGAATCAGTATTATCACTGGTGGCCACCCAGTAATTTACCATTTTTGATGCAGTATGGACCAGCCTCTGTCATTTTAATTAATATTTGTTGTGTGTATGTGTACTTAGTACTATTAGTTCTGTGTTGTAGTGGGTCTTTTTGTCTTATGAGACCTTTTAGGGATTTATACTTTTATTAAAAGTTACATTTTAATATATATATTTTTTCAGTATTCCATTATTTATATAGTATATTGTATCCTCTGCCTCTTCTTTTTCTTTTAAATGTATAAGTACCTCCTTCAATCCCCTCCTCCCTCAGTCTTTTTGTTCCTGTCCTATCCCTATAGGACATGTGTTTTATTTCCTTGGAACTATTATTTTTCTTTTATGGCTTACCTGGGGATTTGTTCCCCTGGCCCATTGGGAGTTCAGTCTCTCTCCCTTGGGAAGTCTCCAGTTACACGGCCCTGTGCAAAGGTGACCCCATGGAGAGTACCCCTTTAGTGACCGGGGGTCTGGTACTTGTTGTAACCCAAGGAGTAGCAAGCTGTTCTGCCTGGTTCCCTAATGCTACAGTGACCCTAGGGGTAGCAGTGGGCAGGTGAATATGGACCTGGACGTGTACCTTGCTAGTCTGGACTTCTCCCTGTTTCCGGCTTCCCTCTGCCTTTTCCGCCGTCCTTCTGAAGGGGTAAGTCCATGTGCTTTCTTTCATTTTCACTTGGTGTACGTTTTTTCGAACGCATGTGTTCGCCTGAAATTTGAGCTGTTCGCATGAATTTTAGCGAACATTTGTTTGTTCACATGAATGGCTCGTTCGCCTGTTCGTTCGCCAGCCATGGGGAGGGACGCCCTTTCCAGCAACTGGCAATTTTGAGAGAGGTATGCTTTTCCCCTGATTTTTCCCATTCTAAGGAGAATGAGGATGGTTCACGTCCCCCTCATACTCATAGCCCCGTTTTGGTCGCGCAGACCCTGGTTTCCTCTCCTGCACAGCCTTTGTGTAGAGCCACCTTGGAGTCTTCCGAGAGTCCCAGACCTTCTGTGTCAAGATCCTGTTCTCCACCCAGACCAGTCCTCCCTAAACCTGATGGCATGGAGGTTGAAAGGGAAAGGCTGTTGAATAAGGGCTTCTCTCATATGGTGGTAGACACCCTACTCAGGGCTAGGAAGCGTTCCACTTCTAATGCATACTATAGAATCTGGGATGTTTTCTCTTCCTGGGCTTCCTCGAAGGATGTCTCGATCCAGTGTTGTTCCACAGGGAATATCTTAGACTTTCTTCAATCCGGCCCCCACAGGGAATATCTTAGACTTTCTTCAATCCGGCCTCGAGAAGGGTCTGAGCTACAACACCTTGCAGGTTCACGCATCTGCCTTGTCGGCTTTAACTAACCACAAATGGACCTTTGATTTGGACATGGCCAGGTTTCTTAAAGCTGTACTAAAAATCAGACCTCCGATTAAAGAGAAACTCCAGTGCCAGGAAAACAATCCCCTTCAGGTCACTTACCTGAGACCCCACCGATGTCCCTCGGTGGTGGTTTCTGCTTGCCGCCGCAACTCCCAGTGATTATGTCAGCCGGTGGGCGAGACTGATCCCGCCCGCCAGCTGAGGAAACCTAATGCGCATGCGCGGCAATGTCGCACATGCGCATTAGAGCTCTCCATAGGAAAGCATTGAAAATGCTTTTCAATGCTTTCCTATGGGGAATTGAGCGACGCTGGAGGTCCTCACACAGCGTGAGGATGTCCAGCGACGCTCTAGCACAGGTTTTCTGTGCTATAATCGAGGAAGTACCCTCTAGTGGCTGTCTAGTAGACAGCCACTAGAGGTGGAGTTAACCCTGCAAGGTAATTATTGCAATTTATAAAAACCTGCAATAATTACACTTGCAGGGTTAGGAGTAGTGGGAGTTGGCACCCAGACCACTCCAATGGGCAGAAGTGGTCTAGGTGCCTACAGTGTCCCTTTAAGCCATTCGCTCCACATTGGGACTTGCCTCTGGTTCTCCAAGCTCTAAAGTCTCACCCCTTTGAACCTTTGGATTCAGTGCCTTTTCATTTCCTCTCCATTAAAACTGCCTTACTGATGGCTTTGGCCTCAGGTAGAAGGGTCTCGGAACTTCATGCTCTGTCAGTCAAGGAGCCTTTCACAGTCTTCCACAAGGACAGGTTCTTCCTTCGTACTATCCCAGGATTTCGGCCTAAGGTCACTTCCGCTTATCATATTAACGAGGAAATTGTTCTCTCAGCTTTGCATCCAGTTCCACAAGTAAATGGTGATGTCAGAGATCTTTCCTCTTTGGACTTGGTGAGATGCCTCAGAATCTACATTGACAGAACCACCCCTTGGCATTCATCTCCAGGTCTCTTTGTCCTTTATAACGGATGTAGGAAGGGCAGTCAGGCTCCTAAATCTAACATTAGCAGATGGCTTGTTTCAGCCATCATCCATACTTATCAGGCCTCGAAAGCTCCAGTCTCGCATGGACTCAAATCATTCCACAAGATCCCTTTCCTCCTCTGCCAAGGTCTCTCCTGAACTTATTTGTAGAGCTGCCACTACTTTCATCAGACATTACCAAGTGGATGTCAGAGCCGGTCATTCGGACCAATTTGCTAAAAGTGTCCTTTCTGTATGAAACCCTTAATTCCTGAAGTTTTGGTGTTTGTCACTTGGTTTGTAGTACCAATACACTTTGCATATGATATTTCGGAGTCTGTGGTTTCTTTATTTATTCTTCCCTCCCTTGGTTTTAGCTTGGGTATTACCCATCGTTGTGCTGCCATGGATATGGCCAGGAAAAGAGAAAATGTATCCATACTTACCTTAATTTTCTTTTCCTGGTCATATGCCATGGCAGCACAAAGGTCCCGCCCTGGGATATTACTAGTAGCAAGACTGAGGGAGGAGGGATAGAAGGAGGTATTTATACATTTATTTTAATTAGTTCCTGTCTAATTAGGGATAGGGAGGAGCTACCCATCATTGTGCTGCCATGGCATATGACCAGGAAAAGAAAATTACGGTAAGTATGAATACATTTTCCCTTATAATCTAAATTATTTTTTTAGATATTTATATACCCCAATCTTTTCTTATTCAGTTTTTCAATTTTACCCTTTTTTCTACGTTTAGGATTATTTTCTCCACTTGATTGTTTCTTTAATAAGATTTTATTTTATGTGGTATATTTGTTATTAAAATCTTCATGCTTATTAACATACTGTTAAATATATATGTTTTACAATTTATTTAGGACTTCTGTATTTTACTTCCTTTTTGTCATAATTCTCCTATGTGGAGTTTGTGGGACCATAGACTTCTACACTTGAAAACAGTCCTGTATGAACTACATCTACCATGAACCTTTGTACTCACAGAGAGAGAGAAAAAAAATTACTTAAAAAAAAAGTATTTTCATTTTATTACAATTTTTTTTTTATCATCATATTCCTGTCATCTCCTGGTGTATCCTGCATATCCTAGGTGGGGATAATACCACCAACGCTCTTCATACCAGAGCAGGCCATTGCTCTGCATATTGTAAAGGAGGAGACTATATTTAAAAGAAGAAAAACTACCACAACAAGAGGACATAGTCTTAAATTAGAGGGACAAAGGTTTAAAAATAATATAAGGAAGTATTACTTTACTGAGAGGGTAGTGGATGCATGGAATAGCCTTCCAGCTGAAGTGGTAGAGGTTAACACAGTGAAGGAGTTTAAGCATCCGTGAGATAGGCATAAGGCTATCCTAACTATAAGATAAGGCCAGGGACTAATGAAAGTATTTAGAAAATTGGGCAGACTAGATGGGCCGAATGGTTCTTATCTGCCGTCACATTCTATGTTTCTATGTTCTATGTTTCAATGTAAGTAGGATACCGCTTTTAAAAAAAAAAAAAAAAATTTATCCTTTACTTTGTGTAAATACATACTATACCAGAAGACCTTTTCTATTGTGTTTTCACATATATACACTGGACAGAAAGAACTACCAAAGGATAGCTTCAAATCTCCATCGACGGGGATTGTACCGTCCAGGTGCATTACAGCAGAGCTCTTAGCAGCTCTATCCATTGTGAGTTTGCATACTATATTTCTACCTCAAATAGATTAAATAACTGTTACATATTGCACAATTTTTTGTCCATTTCTGTTTCCTTCAAGGTTACAGAAACCATCCTACCTCAGTGTATGTAGATTGAACCAACTGATGTAATTATATTTTTGTTATATATTTCTGCTGTATCTTATTGCTTTTTGGGGCACGGTCTATCACCTTGCTTGTTATTTATTTTATCAGTGTGATTTAGGAAATTCTCACAGATTTACTGCTGCCCACCTACCCATCGACCTTGTATGTAGTGAGCGCTTACTCCTATCGCTGGCATTGCTGCAATACCATTAGAGCGGCTGTAAGCAATCATGATCGCTTCCACTGCTCTAATTCGCTGCGAACGTGTCAGGTACGTCCGCGGTCCTTAAGGACCATTTTTTGTCGTACAAACCCGATACGTCCAAGGTCGAAATGGGGTTAAAGGGACACTGCACATCATCAAAACAAGTAGAGTTTCTCTTAATAGAAATAATTATTTCATGATCAATCTTTTATCCCATAGTACAGTGTTACGGAATTTGCTGGTGCTATATTAATAAAATATAGGTTTGGCAAAAACAAAAGTAATACTTTGTAGCATTCTGCGTCTCAGTGCTGCCTTCCCTGTGCCATCTTCTAAAATACTTCCTCATTTATGCCAAATTGTACCTGCATACAGCCCTCTATCCCTCCCTTTTCACTTACAGTGACTAATAACACAATTGCATGTGCCATCAACAAGCAAAGTGTTGTTCTAGATCAGGTGACACCAATAAACTATTAAGTCACAATAACCCTTGTTCTGAGCAAAAATCATGCTGTACACAAAGAACACGGCTTAACAATGATGGATCCGAAGCTCCATATGAATGATTATATTGAGATAATGCGGTGGGGAATAAAAACGTCTATCTCTGCGATATATATTCCTGCATAGCGATATTAATAACCCATTCTGGTTCTCCCTCCCACACAACAATACATGGTCTGAGACACCAACAGTTATACAGTTTACTTTTTATCAACAAAACACTCTGAGAACATGGTGTTATATACTACTTTGTACCCGAGACTGTAATATTGTGCAGCCAGGCAAATTATTGTACCGCTTCACCTGCAGCGGGTTCACTTATTGAATTGAAATAATCCCTGCAATTACACTATCTCCGTATTAACGGAGACGAGCTAGGACAAGTTATACTAATTAGTGTTCTTAATGTGCTCTTGTGGTTTTACTTTTTTAGTATTAAAAGTTAAGTTTTATATTTAAAGTGGTACACACTACTTGTACCACTCACTGTCCCCCTCCCTTTTAAAGGACTTACACTCTTCAGGACACTCTACGATAATTCCTTTTCTCCTGTTTTTTTTGTCTCTTCCTGTTTAGTTGTTGGTGCAAATATTCTTGCACTAGGGGTTAACTCCCATTCAGGAGATTTTCTACTTTGGTACCCCCTTACCCTTCGATTTTTTTTTTCCAGAATAAAAATGTGTTGCACTCGCAAATGCTGCAAAATGACTGTGGCACTAAGTAACACAAAATTCACCCCTTTCATTTTAACATGAATTTATATACTATACAGCTAAGAACTGGACACAGATTGACTGTGGGGCAGAATCGGGTTAACAACTCACTCTGATCTTTTATTGGCGGAGCTAAAATGTTTTGTGAAAAATGGGTGAAGTTATGCCACAGAAATCTGCAAAACTTTTATTTTTTTCCCCTACCAAAAGATTTGAACATAGAGAAAAACACGATGAATTCAAGTTGAAAATCTATGAAATGCAAGTTGTGTTGGTGTCCAGAGTAAAGATAAAACATCCCTTCTGGGACCGAAGAATGGTGTGTATCTGTGTTTATCATAGTTTTGGATTTATTTTTTACTTTAGTAAATATATAATATGAACAAGAACCACCGATCCAGTGAAATGGAGCTTATAAAACCACAAATTATATAAAGGATTAAGGTTTCTTTAAAGACCTTTATTAGGGACTCCGAAATTTAACAAACTAAGGAACTGTGCATTGCTTTGCACAAAAGGATCCACCCAGTTATCTTCAGTCTATCCATGAACGAAGAAATAGGAGTCAAGGGTAGAAAGGCAAAAAGTCCATGTGAAAAATTTAACTTGCTCATGGTAAAATGGACAAGTTTTGGTGTAGGCTCGGGGCAAGGAATAAAGCACACAGCACGGTTTTGGGGTGTCAATTTGGAGGAGCATTTTCTTTTTAAATATACTCTTGTCCCATTGGAGGTCCAGAGATGTCAAACAACTCAAAACTTTCAGAGCATAGTAGAGTTCATAATGACAAAAGGTAATGTAGGGGAAATGTACAGGTTTAATGGGACGAAAGATACGCCTTAGATTACACCAGGAAAGCAATGTCCATTCAATAGAATAGGGTTACACGTGGAAAGGGGAATCAGACAGGGAACATATATAGAGTACGCTGGACATTATGATGGACAGATTTAAGGGTACACGTCGTTTAGGGGTCTTCCTTAAATGCCTTCTGTGTGTTGGGGAATCGCTGGGGGTTGTAGGACTCATTATCTTGGATTATTTTCTGAATATCCTGGCAGAGCTAGAAAGAAACAAACAGTGGATTAGGCAAGTCTTGAATTAAGTCGAACACCTCCATTCAGCAGATAAGGCACACATACTGTTTAGATAAATCTGTAGCACAGTCCTTTTGTGCATTAAGATATTCAAAGAATGACAACATTAGCACAGCAACAGCGTGGTCAGTTGGCATCTCAGGGTTTCATTCCTTTCTATGTATTCAGTTAGTTAAAGGGACACTATAGGCACCCAGACCACTTCAATAAACTGGGCATCTCAGAGTTTCATTCCTTTCTATGTATTCAGTTAGTTAAAGGGACACTATAGGCACCCAGACTACTTTTATTAAAGTGTTCTGTGTGCAGAGTCCCTATTGCAATTAGTGCTGCAATGTTAAATATTGCAGTTTCAGCTTTGTATTCCTGGCACGTATCGTATCCCTTTAATATTCCATTGTGGGTAATAAAAAACAAACAAATTAATAAGTATTTTCTCTATTTGATGGAGGAAAAAAAACAACAACTATTTTCTAGAGTGCAATTTTGTAAGACAACCATAAGCAATCAGTAAGTTCTGAAGGAAGCTGTAGAAAGTTGGAGCTATGGGTGGGTGTAATGATTAATTACATGTATGTCACGGACTCTGGGTGTCTGAACAATACCTGCACAAATCAGAGACTGTTTAAATAACACGACATTAGAGATGAAACCACATTATATACCCATAATGTAGGAGACTGAACAGAAATAGGATTCTTTTAGGCAAACAATTAGAGAGGGGATTTTTTTGTGTTTTTTTTTTGGGGAAGATGGGAAACTTTTTTGTTACTTGTCCTTCCTTACCTGCTCTCTGTACCTTCCCTGCACCTCACTGTTATCCAGCTCTCTCCGCAGACTCTCATTGCTGCTTTCTGGCTTGGCTCCTGTAGATCTCATTGCTCGAGTCACTGCCTCAGAGAGGGAGAGATGGGGACCCTCACCTTGCATTGTCTGAGATACAGATAGGAGGCATGAGATTAATCTAGACAGCAGGATTCATTAATAGGCATACCTACAATTGTATACTAGAAAACACAATGCAGGATTCAATACCAGGCATCCATACACAAGTCTATTAGAAAACAAGAAAGCAGGACTCAATTCCAGACATTCATACACTAAAAAACACAAGGCGGTAGAATAAAATACCAGGCATTCATACATTAAAACCACAAGGAGGTAGAATAAAATACCAGGCATTCATACACTAAAAACCACAAGGCGGTAGAATAAAATACCAGGCATTCATACACTAAAACCACAAGGCGGTAGAATAAAATACCAGGCATTCATACACTAAAAAACACTAGGTGGTAGAATAAAATACCAGGCATTCATACACTAAAAAACACTAGGTGGTAGAATAAAATACCAGGCATTCATACACTAAAAAACACAAGGCGGTAGAATAAAATACCAGGCATTCATACACTAAAACCACAAGGAGTTAAAATACCAGGCATTCATACACTAAAAAACACAAGGCGGTAGAATAAAATACCAGGCATTCATACACTAAAAAACACAAGGCGACAGAATAAAATACCAGACATTGATCCACTAAAAACCCAAAGGCGACAGAATAAAATACCAGGCATTCATACAATAAAAACACAAGACGACAAAATAAAATACCAGGCATTCATTCATACACTTGTACACTAGTAGGAAATTAGGATTAACTAGTCACACAACCATAAATCAACCCTAAACACCAGAACGCAGTCTGCCATGGTAGCATATGGTACACAAAGGAAATACAGTACTTTGCGACGTTTTGCAGGCATCCCACTAAGGTAGGCATCGCTTAATGGCGGCTGCTGCTTCAGCTTCCTTTGAGTCTGTAAGTCCTGTCTGATGACTGGAACCCATTCCTGCGGACAGACAGTGTCACAATATGTTTGGGCGTGTGCGATTTGTACAGAGGAATCCGTAATTACATAAAAAAAGGCATGACCTAAACTACACACAAAACAGGAAAACAAACATGACATTGTGCCACACTAATAGCAAATGCATTACTTTCAATGTTCTTGCGGGTTTTGGGTTTTTTTGGGGTGGGGTGCGGGTGTTACTTTCTTAGATGTTACTGTTACGCTAAATGTAATGATTGGCAGATAAAGAAGTTATTTTATTTTGGATTGTTGAGTTACCATGTAAGCTTGGATTTAGCCGAGTGGTCTTTCATTGTAGGTGGGACGCATTTGTATATTAAAACTATACTCCTCAGGCACTCTTCATTAATTCATTCTTTAAACTGTCCAGCTTAGTTTACCAGAACAACTACAACTTAATGTAGTGGTTCTGGTATCTATAGCATGACAATCCAGGCTTTTACATGTAACACTGCAACGAACACCACCTCTTGTGGAAGTCACTCAGACGCCAACTATAAGTGCTTCCTGCACTGGCGTTCTAAATGCTTCCCATGGAGATGCTTTGATTCAATGCTGCTATATGAGGAGCGCTAAACGTTCCCCATGGAGATGCAATGATTCAATGCTGCTATATGAGGAGCGCTAAACGTTCCCCATGGAGATGCAGTGATTCAATGCTGCTATATGAGGAGCGCTAAACGTTCCCCATGGAGATGCAGTGATTCAATGCTGCTATATGAGGAGCGCTAAACATTCCCCATGGAGATGCTTTAATTCAATGCTGCTATATGAGGAGCGCTAAACGTTCCCCGTGGAGATGCAATGATTCAATGCTGCTATATGAGGAGCGTTAAACGTTCCCCATGGAGATGCTTTAATTCAATGCTGCTATATGAGGAGCGCTAAACGTTCCCCATGGAGATGCAATGATTCAATGCTGCTATATGAGGAGCGCTAAACGTTCCCCATGGAGATGCTTTGATTCAATGCTGCTATATGAGGAGATGCTAAACGTTCCCCATGGAGATGCTTTAATTCAATGCTGCTATATGAGGAGACGCTAAACGTTCCTCATGGAGATGCTTTAATTCAATGCCGCTATATGAGGAGCGCTAAACGTTCCCCATGGAGATGCTTTAATTCAATGCTGCTATATGAGGAGACGCTAAACGTTCCCCATGGAGATGCTTTGATACAATGCTACTATATGAGGGAAATGTACTGGGTTTTCCAATTGAAAACTCTTGCTCCAGAAGGACTTAACGCCGAATTCGACCTTTTTAACTTTTTATAACAACTATTTTTATTATTTTCTTTCACCATTAAATACTTTTCAATACTTCAGTCATTTTAATATTTCTACTTTTCCTTTTTGATTTACATGTCCGACTACTTATGTATTTCCTTCCAATTAGCCCTTTATTCACCCTCCTTCTATGTATTAACACATCTTCTATTCATTTAAATCTCTTATTTTCCATTCTTTCCATTTTATTTCTTTTCCACATAGTATGCTTTGCATATCCATACATCTCTTTGTTTTATATCTCTATTTTCTTCTCTTCTTTTCTTTTTTCCCCCTTTATATTTATTTTTATTCACTTTTATATACATTTTCTCCTATATTGTTTATACATTTTATTAGTCTCTTTTAGTTTTTTATTTCCCCTTCTTCTTTTTCTGCAGTCATACTTCAACTTTTCCTGCTGATATCTAGATTCTCTTTATACATATTCTCTGTTTTTACACCACGTTTTTTTTTTTCTTTATTTTCTCCTAATCTGGGTTGTGCCCCGTTAGGCACTACATTTCCCAGGGTGTTCGGCGCCTAGACACGTGATCGCGTCGGCGATCACGTGCCTCATACATACACCTGCCGGCACAGGACGGAGACGTGCCTTCTGTAGCCGACCTCCGTCCTGCTACTACATTCCCCATAAGCCTCCTCTCCACCACGTGACCGCGTAGGGTCACGCGTCATTCCTCATTAACCCTATTCCCAACCACGTGACCGCGAGTGATCGCGATCACGTGCTCCTCACCCTCCTTCCTCTTTCCGGTCTCCCTGTACGCTCAATAGAAAACTATATTTCCCAACAAGCATTGGGATACACCATGTGATCGCGGTAGCTCGCGATCACATGACAATCTATTCTATCTTCCAGTACTACCATAAACACTCGTTTTTGAAAAATTTATAAAGTTTTGAGTTGTACTTTTAATCATATATCCATGTTCTTATTATATTTATGTTTTTTAATATTTTTATTATATTCTCATTGTAATGATGACGTCATTTTGGCGCCAAAATTCAAATAACCATGTATCCCCTAAGTTTATATAAACTTCTATGTACCAGGTTAACACCCATTATTGCCAATTGATAAAGCCCTGTGTGGCGAAACGCGTTTTGGCTATTGCTATATATTTTTACTGTATTAATAAAGGAATATTGGCCTTTTTACTATTTACTTGCCATATACCTTTTATTTCATTTTTATCTATTTATTTTTTAACCTGGTTACACGTTACTTTGGAGCAGACCATCGTTCAAAGAATCCTAAGTGGGGATTGTACCACCTACGCCATTAAACTGAGCAGTATACCCTGCTCAGATAAATGTAAGTACGCCTTTTACTTCTCTGACTTACTTGTTATTATACAGTGAGCACTATATTTGGTTTCTACCTCTCTTTTCATATCGAGGAATCATTCACACCTATATCCCGACAGTGGGGGGTCAACGCCACTGAATGCCAACTACACTAGAGCGAGTACACGCTCTTGGATAGGTGAGTGAAATACCTCCCTTACTTCTTATTTTATCAATTCCATCACAGAATTACACTATTGGAGTTCTCTTTTTCTTCTACTTATATGTTCGACATTGAGTCAAGATTCCCCCAGCTATAGAAGATCTAAACTTCCCATTGATTTCATCATCAAGCCTGCATTATTCTATTGGAACTTACAAGAATTTTACTATACATTGGAACTTACAAATATTTTACCATATATCGGGACTCTTATGTACATTTTTATCTTTTATTCTCTGTTTGCCTTTTTTATATGTGAGTAAACGTATATATATATATTTATATAATTTTTCTATTATTTATGTATTTATTTATATTTATATTTATCCTTTCACTTTTTGTATAGCGCGACCTATCATTGTGTTTTTTGCTTTGATACAATGCTGCTATATGAAGAGACGCTAAACGTTCCCCATGGTGATGCTTTAATTTAATGCTGCTATATGAGGAGCGCTAAACGTTCCCCCTGGAGATGCTTTAATTCAATGCTGCTATATGAGGAGACGCTTTGATACAATGCTGCTATATGAAGAGACGCTAAACGTTCCCCATGGTGATGCTTTAATTTAATGCTGCTATATGAGGAGCGCTAAATGTTCCCCCTGGAGATGCTTTCATTCAATGCTGCTATATGAGGAGACGCTAAACGTTCCCCATGGAGATGCTTTGATTCAATGCTGCTATATGAGGAGACGCTAAACGTTCCCCATGGAGATGCTTTGATTCAATGCTGCTATATGAGGAGACGCTAAACGTTCCCCATGGAGATGCTTTGATTCAATGCTGCTATATGAGGAGACGCTTTGATACAATGCTGCTATATGAGGAGACGCTAAATGTTCCCCATGGAGATGCTTTAATTCAATGCTGCTATATGAGGAGACGCTAAACGTTCCCCATGGAGATGCTTTAATTCAATGCTTCTATATAAGGAGATGCTGAGAGTGTGGAGACACTGAACGTTCCCCATAGAGATGCTTTGATTCAATGCTTCTATATAAGGAGATGCTGAGAGTGTGGAGACGCTTTGATTCTATGCTTCTATAGGAGGAGATGCCGTGTTTGTGGAGACGCTAAACATTCCCCATGGAGATGCAATGAGTCAATGCTTCTATATGAGGAGATGCTCCCCATAGAGATGTTTTAATTCAGTGCATCTGGAGATGCTAATTGGCACAGCATTGTGCCGCACATGCGCAATAGCCTTCCAATTTTTTCCTATGGGAAATCATTGGATTGGCTGAGATCATCAGGAGGCAGAGGGGAAAAAGGGGGAGTGTAAACACTTTCTCTGGCAGGAGGGCTGGGAACCTAAATTTTCAAGCTCTGTGCAAGCTTGCATACAACAATTATTTTTAAAATAAATTGCACATAAAGCCATACATTTCACATAGATCCAAAAATGTGGGGATACCAATCAATTCATTTATTGCAAATAACTTGTCAAAATACAGATAAAGGCAGTTATAACGGTTCACTATACTGTTCTATACTTCTGGAAGAAGTCGCAAAATGCACCGCTATTTGAAAGCAATGTTATGCCAGCGGAAGAGTCCCTTTAACACATTGTGATAAAAGTGGCACTTACTGGGGGTACAGCTGCTGCCCATGGCTCAGTTCCAGCTTCTTCCTGGGCAGTGCGCTCAGAATCAGGGCATAGAATAGGTGCTGAACTTTGAGGAGGTAGAAACAGGACCTCCTCTACAGTGGTGGCAGGCACTGGAGAGGGAGCACCAGTCTGAAGAAAAGAGGCAAAGACGAGTCATGAATGGAAAAAAGATAACGAAAATTAAGTGGAGAAGTGACAAGAAATAACAGGAAGGAAAGATGGGGCTGGCAGAGAGGAATCAAACCGGTAAAGATGTGCGTAAACGGGGTGGCTACATGGGAAGGAAAGATGAGATGGGGCAGGACGAGGACAAGAGACTGGTGGGAAAAAATAGAGCAGAGATAAGAGTAACTATCAGAGTGGTAGGAGAGATGGGGAAGAAAGAGTAGGAGTGATTGGAGGAAAGAGGAGACAGATAAAAAAAACAAAAAAAAAAAAAAACACGAGAGGAGAGATGTGGGATAGGGTCGCTTGATTTTTATTCCCTGTCTGTTTTGTTCTGATCCAGTTCCTAAATAGCCCAGACTGCTGTGTTGTATCCTGAAGTTATTTACATACACTTGTTCCGGATTCTTGGTTTCCATTAGTAACATACCATCTTACTCTGAAGCCTGGAGACACTCAGGATCCCTACCTACTTTAAAGTATCTTTGCCTTGCTTCCTCATTGCCCAATGCCAGAATGACCAATAATATGGAATACATTCCAGGTTCGTGCTTTTTAGCATCTATTTATTCTGCAGACCTGGCTGCTACAAGCTGAGAAACAGCGATAGGTGTGGAATGTGTACTCTGCTCAAAAACATGCATCTCATTCTCCCGTGTCTCCTCTATGCGAGAGCAGTAACAGAGGAATGTGACAAGACATCGAAAATACTAGAAATTGTGTAAATATATATCAGGGACTAATGATATACAATACACCCGAAGACACAAGTTCTTCCATTTACCTGTGAATCGGCTGGTGTGGTCTCCATGGGCTGCTCTTGGGAAGAGGACCCGGAAACCTGAGACAAAAAGATTGGGAAGAAAAACAGGAGAAACATTACACCAATGTCTCTTCCTTCCACAAAAAAAAAAATAATCTACATAATGCCCAGGATTTAAGAGATAATAGCACAAAGCTAAAGTCTTCCTTAATGGGCCAGGCTTGGCAACATGTGTCTTAAAGATGTATGGAAGTCTATAAGACAGCTTCATCCCACAGACCATCATCGATGGTCATAACGGGACCTCAGGTCCACAAGAAAACAGGTTTCGTGTTTATAGTTCAGTTCTTGCTTCCCATCTGTTCCACTAACCTGAGGAGGATCCCCCACTCTTCGGACATGTCTTTGCACTTCCGCTTCAGTTACTGGCATTTGTCCCAGCAGTTCTTGGAGTCGGAGAGATAGAACAGATGTCATCCATGACACCAGTGCAGGAGAAAGGTCCAGAGGAAGTCGTCTCTGTGACACAGAGAAAAGGAAATAGAACAGTGAGTAATACAGAGATTGGAAAGGATGGAGTGCGGGAAATGAAACATCGGATATTGCTTACAATTCTTTCATTGATGACAGATGTTAGAGCGTTCTGGTCTCCACGCAGACAATATAAATTAAGAGCAAGCCATTCAAAAAGTGACTGGTTACACATCTCCAACAGACGCTGTCCAAAAGTGGAGTCTGAAAAGAAGAGGAGTCATTAAAGAAAAGTGAAGTCAGTCACCAGAACACAAACTGATTTTTTTTTTTCCTGCAGAGTAATGGCTGCCCCAGCTACAGGGAGAAGGCGTTAGGAGTTTGTCCCTCGTCTTGCAGGTTGACACAGACAGAAATAACTACAAGTTTGCCCTTCCCTCCTGCAAAAAGCAGATTATAGGAGTCTGTCCCTTCTGCCCAGACAGAAGCAGTTCTAAATCTGTGTCTCTGCCTTCAAGGTGACATAAGGGAGTTGCCAGCTGCCAGAGACACAAGATGTACTGTACCTGCACAATGAAGGATGTGTGTGGTGATCCGGACAAATTGCTCTTGCAAAAATTCAAGGTTTGTTCTAGTGATGTCTACATCATCCCGGACAGAAACAGGGGCCTGTGGAATACACAATATTATAAGTAACAGATATGGAGGGGAGGGGAGAGAAGAAGGTCATCTAGCGAAACTTACAAAGCTCTCCCGTATGTATGCTTCCAAGCCGTTAATAAGATTTCGTGACGCCATCTGAAAACAACAAAACATTGCATTTGGACACATACCATCAAAGATCTTTACTTTATAGGAAAGCATGAAATCATCCCAGAATTCGTCAACTATTTTACCAGTTCCCAAACATAGATATCTGAACCTGGAACCTCATCTCAAAATCAGAGGACTGTGTTACCACCAATACTGTCTTTTAAGTGGTCAAGGCACCAACACAGGTCTCATGCACACCATAAGTGATAAGATAAGTGCATGTTAGAAAAACACAAGAGAGAGATAGAGGAGAGAAGTATCTCAGTATGGGATCCACACAGTGAATATTGTAAATGAAAGAACTCATAATTCCAGAAGAAACTGAGAACTAAAAGTTGTGAATACAATGTACCAAGCAGCCTTGATATAAACTTCAAAAATGTTGGCTAAACATAATGATTCTAACTCTCCAATATGATGGAGATGTGGGGATGACATAGGAACTTATCTACACATATGGTGGGCCTATAATAAAATAGCTAATACATGGAACACAGGTTTAGTCAAATGTCAGATTGCTCTTGACTCCATATCCTGTGAAGGCTACTACATTTAGATTTGAACTCCCTACTATTGAAGGATAGATATCTGGCCATTCCATTTTGTTTTAGCTATGAACGTGGTCGTTGCTGGAAAATGGAAAGTGGCAGGTAATATTCACTGGATCGAAAATGCAAGATCAAGTGAATCATCAACGCTTGATGGAAAAAAAGCTTTTACTTCACTTACCATAGCTTTATATATGGGGTCAATGGCTGCAGAAATATCCCTATTACTGAGTAATGTTTAATTAGAATAATAATCTTATCTTCTGTGTAATCATTTTTCTTTTAAACATTTTCTGCATGGCCCGACATCATATGATCATTTATGTTAATGTTTTGTTGTTTTTCTTCCTATGTAAATACATTACATTTTCAAACAGTCACTGTACAAGGATATACTCTGCAGGGTGGGAGGTGCCACATACCTGTGTATTGCGCGGGGTGGGAGGTGCCACATACCTGTGTATTGCGTGGGGTGGGAGGTGCCACATACCTGTGTATTGCGCGGGGTGGGAGGTGCCACATACCTGTGTATTGCGCGGGCTTTAGGGGGCCCCACATACCTGTGTATTGCGCTGGATTGGAGGTGCCACATACCTGTGTATTGCGCGGGCTTTAGGGGGCCCCACATACCTGTGTATTGCGCTGGGTGGGAGGTGCCACATACCTGTGTACTGCGTGGGCTTTGGGGGGCCCCACATACCTGTGTATTGCGCGGTGTGGGAGGTGCGCCACATACCAGTGTATTGCGTGGGCTTTGGGGGCCCCACATACCTGTAAATTGTGCGGGGTGGGAGGTGCCACATACCTGTGTATTGCGTGTGGTGGGAGGTGCCACATACCTGTGTATTGCGCAGGGTTTGGGGGGGCCCCACATACCTGTATATTGTGTGGGGTGGGGTCGGCCTGATGCAGGTATTGCTGGAGAAAGAAGGAGCGGAGCTGAGGTTGAAGACTCTGTAAGGGCTCAGACTGACCATGTAATAACATCACCATATCTACCAGTGAGAAGTGGTGACAGATCAGTGACAGGAGATCTCCAAAGAATCCTGGGAGAAAGAACAAGAATGACACACGTTAATAACCCTAAATTAACAGACAGAAAACTGTGGCAGCTGCTGAACTACAAGTCCCATGACTCACAGCAAGAAGTGAGAAAGGACTTGTAGGACAGTTGGAGTGACCCAATTTTAACCTGTCCAGAAAAAAAGGTCACATAATCTTCAGCTAAAGGGTTTAGATCAAGGATAAAAGACATACTGTATAACAATTATAAAGAAATAGATTGAGATAGAAGAAACACCAAAGTGAGTGAGAAGATGTGCGCCTTACCCACTGGCCCCTCTGCATCTGGCTGGAAGATATTATGAGGACCACTGAGGCGCTGGATAAATGCTGCAATACTTTCTGTTCCTGTTTGATCAGCTGCGCTCAGGGATCCAAGCATGGTAGAGAGGACACCTTGGACCACACTGGTAAAGAACTCTGGAGTAAGGGCGTCAGCAGTGGCGCCAGCGGCTTGTGGTGGTGGTGGTGCAGTGGGAGCAGGCGAGGAAGTAGAAGGAGGTGGCTGAGTGAAGGACTGAGGTGCTGATGTGGCCACAGGGATAGTTTGTGCAGCCTTAAACAGACAGGGAAAATATAGGAACAGTGTTAGTCTGTGCTGGTAAAAGCATCTGGTTTGGTTTAGAATCACAAAGGATTATTTTATAGATCTGCCCAGACATGTTTGGGAATACCAGAAATGGCATATTTTTCAAGGAACTCTAACAAATTTTAAATGTAAAAAAAAAAATAATAAAAAAAAATGAAAATATGGACGGGTTTTAACTGCCGAGCTGATCAGATGCATCTTGAGAAAGCTCAGAGAGAAACATGTATTATACACACACACTTTAATCGACTTATTTGCCACACAATTGATCACTCATTGACAGTAGACAAACTGCACTCTTGTGGGATCCAGCATAAGCAAGTTTGAATAAACTCTGACGTTTGGCAGTTCTTGAACGCGATAGGTCTTGGTGATAGGAAGGCTCTTTCCCCACCCCCAACAGAGGGGGTTATCCTGGCACTTACTGCTGGTGTTGCGCCTGCCAGTACATTTATCCGAAGATGCCATGGGACCGGCATCCCTTCCAAAATTGACTCCAGTTGCCAGCCATCTCCCATTCTGACCAGCTTGGAAAAGTGTTTTTTCAGACTTCCGGGCCAAGTTCCATCACCAATTGCACTCCCTCACACAACAGGTTCTTACCCCTCCTGTGAATTCAGCACCAGAGGTTCCTTCTAAGTACATAAAAAGGCCTATCCACACAAGGATGAGAGTGCTTATTTATACATGACCCCGGAGACCATTGCTCCTTCTGCCAGTGAGATTGGAGCTACCCTAAGCTCAGAGGACATGGCTTCATAACTACCTGGCGATCTTCTGGTTACTTCTGTGCAGCAGTTGCCACCACATTTTGTGAGTCTCTCCCAACATCCCTGGTTTGGACAGATATTTTACACCAGGGCCTATGGCCATTAGGCTTCTTAAAGGACCACTATAGTGCCAGGAAAACATACTCGTTTTCCTGGCACTATAGTGCCCTGAGGGTGCCCCCACCCTCAGGGACCCCCTCCCGCCCGGCTCTGGAAGGGGAAAGGGGTTAAAACTTACCTTTTTCCAGCGCTGGGCGGAGAGCTCTCCTCCTCCTCTTCTCCTCCTCCTGGGCTGAATGCGCACGCGCGGCAAGAGCTTCGCATTCAGCCCGTCGCATAGGAAAGCATTTACAATGCTTTCCTATGGACGCTTGCGTGCTCTCACTGTGAAAATCACAGTGAGAAGCACACAAGCGCCTCTAGTGGCTGTCAATGAGACAGCCACTAGAGGTTTAGGGGGAAGGCTTAACCCATTCATAAAATAGCAGTTTCTCTGAAACTGCTATGTTTATAAAAAAATGGGTTAACCCTAGAAGGATCTGGCACCCAGACCACTTCATTAAGCTGAAGTGGTCTGGGTGCCTAGAGTGGTCCTTTAATACTGTTCTGCCTTTGTAGGTAATCGGTTAAACACAGATCTGTGCTCAGGACTGTATGTCCCTCATCCCGCTGCCTGAACCCGTTTTAATTGGGCCACATAACTGCAGCCAAGTTACTTAGAATTGCTTACACTTCAAGTTTTAATTCGTATTTTAGGCTCTAAGCCTAGCAATCAATCGTCTATTTTCTTATTATTTAAAAAATGTGCAGCTTACTCAGTGTATAATATTATGCTATTATGATCAATTTGCATATGATTATACTATTTTAGTTTTAATTTAAATTTATACGTAGGTTATCTGCTGGAGATTGCTTTCTTTACTGATGAATACCTTGCAAGCTTACAATATCTCATGTATCTATGTATGTCAAAAATACATTAAAATAAAAAACATGAAATTAAATGTGTAAACAAGAATTTAAAAAAAAGGACAGCTAAAGAAGGACTATTCTAAAGGTGAAAAGAGATTCACGATTATAGCTGCAAAACTAATTAAACCCTCCCCCATGCCTTTTACAATGCTTTGACTTCACTGGGGATCCTGCGCCCCACTGCCACTAATGCTCCTGGAGTGTCAGAAGCTCCTGCTATGGAGCTTGTGTCAGCTCTCTTGAGTAGCCCTATAGTACAGGACCAGCTCATGGTTAGAACATTTAACATATTTTAAATTCCAGAACCGAACTTGGAAGTACGCTGTTCACATTTTATTGTGTATATCTTATGTTTTTAAAGGTGGAATTTTGTGATTGATTTCACGAGGGTGACTAGCTGCACCTTAATTACTTGTGTGTGTTACACAAAGCACCATTTGATTTTTAGAGTTTACATACCTGTAGTATGTCTGTAACACCCTGCAGAAAGGCTGGCATTCCTGGAACGGCCACAGTAATACTTGGAGAACCCATTGCGATGTTTGCCATTCCAGAGCTAGCAGTGCCCAGCAAGGAACCAAACAGCTGAGAAAACTGCTGGTCGGGTCCAGGGGGAGGATGTGGAGAGGGACCGGTTGAAGCAGAGGGAGTGCTGGGAAATGAAGAGGTAGTTGTGGTGGTGGGAGCAGTGAAAGTTGATGAGAAAGAAGAAGATGAAGTGGAAGAAGAAGATGATGATGAAGAAGACGATGAAGTAGTAGTAGTTGTTGGTGTTGAGGTGGAAGTTGTGCTGCTGCCCTGAGCTGTGGAGAAAGGGGGAGGGGGAGAGCATGAGAAAAGATTGTTATAGAGTAAGGAAGAATCCCAGAATGATAGACCAATACATTCACGGAACAAAAAAAGATGAAAAATGCAAGAAAGAGTGGGAAAACAATAAAGAGGAGAAAAAAACTTAAGAAAAGACTAAAGAGAAAATACAAACAAAACGAGAACATACAATATACTCACCAACAACAACTGGATGCATGAGAAGTTGGCCAACTAAGCCACTGATCATCTGGGCCAAGGAGGCATTACCTGCTGGACCAGGCTGTGGGAGAAAATGTGTTAGCCACAGATGGAGGGTGATTTTTTATTTTATAAATACAACTACATCGGAAACAGTTACCAAAGACTCAACAGTGCAGCCGGTTTAAATACTAACTAGGGTTACAGAATTAAATGGACCCCTCCTGTCCTAATAGGAGCAAAGATTCTAGAGAGCATTGAATTCATTGAAAAATTTTAAAAAATAAACAGATAAAAAAAAATATTGTGGATTCTCACCATTGCTCCTGGAGTGGGTCCAGCAGTCCCTGTAGGAGGAACAGTTACACCAGGACGTGGAGGATGAAGGGGGGCTACAGGCCTTGTGAATACAAAGCGAGGGGGCTGTGCCTGAAAGCCAGGAATCTGTTGTCCTAAAAACAGGTAAAAGAACAGTAAGAGTGCAGACTTTATTTTCATATTTGTTTAGTACAATGCAATGCTTTCTTGAGCAGCCCAGAAGACCCTCTTGTATGAAATGCAATTTACCTGAAGCTGCAGCCATAGCTTGCTGGGTAATCTGGTGTGAAATTGCCTGCATGAACTCAGGGGGGAGCCCTGGCATGTGGATGTGTGTACCACCACCTATGTGACAGAAGAGGAATTGGAGAAGTGTCAGTGCAGTCTATCATTGGTTCTCAACAGTGTGAAATCATTGTAAAAGTGACCAGTTCTCATCATTGTCCTGCTGCAGGAACCCCAAACCTGATATAATCCCTCTATTTCCAAATCCACAAACCTTATTGAATCCCTATATCAATTAATGCTCTATTACAGAACCTCTAAACCTTATTGAATCCCTATACCAATTAATTCTCTATTACTGAACCTCCAAACCTTATTTCTTCCCTATACCAATTAATTCTGTTACTGAATTTGCAAACCTTATTTAATCCCTACACCAATTAATTCTTTATTACCGAGCCTCCGAACCTTATATCTTCCCTGTACCAATCACTGCTCTAATTACAGAGACCCCCATAGGCTGTCTTATGCATTAGACTGTAAAATCCCCCATCCTGTTTTCAGTATGACTTAATTATAGGACACCCTAAATCTGGCCAGTAGTTATTACTTCCCCATTACACGACTCTCACACTATATCTCCTAGGCCTGCTACGACCCTGTATCGGTTCTATAATGGATATTACAGACCCTCTACCCGGTATTAGTATTACTGTAGAACTATCGTGTTACCTTTACCATTCATTTGTCCTATTACAGGGCAATCACCCAGGTATTTGGCTCTATTGCTAAATAAAGGAGAGGTCTCCAACCCTTTTACTACCACAGCTAATACAGGATTTTGCGTAGGCTTATTGTCCCAAGAACGAATTATAGGGTCTCACCGTGCCCTGCAGTAGGAGGCGGAATGTTCGAAGGGCCACCAGATCCTGAATCTTCAAGTAAGAGAGAGAACAAAGCCTCAGTAATGCAGAAATGTCAGCAGTGGTAAAGCTGCAATGAAGGCCGAACATTTACCTTGGATGTTCATGTGCATCATCATTACGGGCTCCACGGTCTGGTGCGTAATACGAATCACGCGGGGTTGTGGTGGGGGGGCAGAGGCAGGAGGAGCTTGGGGAGGGGCTGGCTCCCCAGTGGGAGGTGGCTGACTCTCAGTTGACACTCTTGCTGGGTCAGAGGCACTCGGTGGGGCAGTAGGAACGGAGGTTCCTTCTGCAGAGGTCTGACCCGCGTGTGCACCATTCCCAGTCATTGTGACGGTTGTTCCAACGTTAATCTAATAAGAACAAAACAGGTTCAGAAGGAAATTAAAACTTAAATGTACAGGAAATTCTGAAGATGGCACAAGTAAAGAGAAAAGAATGCCTCCCCTTTACCTGTATGGGTATGGCTGCCTGCTGCAGTAACATGGGCCCTGTATAATGAGACATTGGTCGTACCACATGTAAATGACGGGGGGAGACAGATGACAAATTACAGCGCAGGTCAGATAAAGCAACCAGAGCATTTCCTAGGAGACGCAAGGACTCCCCAACAAGGTTGATAACACGCTGAGATTGTTCACGGTCCTCCTAGTGGGCAATAAAATAGCAAAAATTAACTTTTTAAGAGGGTTTCTTTTAGATGTTGTTTAATCACAAATAATTTACTCTGCACCTGTCATGACAGACAACTTTTGTTAACATGATAGAGTGGTTGAAGTAATCTATACATTGAGTTAGTAGAATTGCGGAAACATGAATACATTTTTCACCAGAAGCCCCTCTTCATCCTCCACGTCCTATCAGCCTGGGGCAGAAGAGAAGCAGGTAGAGCCTGAGGCAGTAGCCACTTCAGTAAGGATAAGTGAGGAAATGCTAAAGTGTCCGTTTTAGAGAAGAGACAGTCCGGCTTTAACTAAAACAGTTTGCTAAAGAAGGTGCTGGATGAATTAAAAAATTTCTATGACCATATATAGAGTGCAGCGCAGTGACCGCAGTCGTATTTCCTATGAATGCACAGCAACATTGGGGTCCGACTACAGAAAGTAGGTCTTAATGATTATAAAATAAATAAATGTCATATGGACCAAAGATGGAGACCCCGAATTAGCATCCCCCAAGACACTTCTGCATTCAATAGAAAATGAAGGCAGGATTTTATTTTCAATTTAAAACCTTGCATTTTCAGGAGAGTGAACTAGGTGCTCGACATGTCATGTTTAAACACTTTTAATTGAAATACATTAGCAGATACCCGAGACACATGTGTATTATATGTCTGTTTTGGCATGAATGGTGTCATTTTATTTTAATGTCACCTGAAAAAGTCCTGGTTTATTGCATAATCCCATTAGAAAGTATATTTCACATATGCTATAAACATGTAAAAAAAACAGCTTCTTTAAGTACACTTTGTATATATATATATATATATATATATATATATATATACACATACACACACACACACACACACACACACACACATATATACACGTAAGCTCCTTGAAAAAGGGGAAAGAATTAAAGGAACACTATAGTCACCTAAATTACTTTAGCTAAATAAAGCAGTTTTAGTGTACTTTGTTTCTGTTTATGCAGCCCTAGCCACACCTCCCCTGGCTATGATTGACAGAGCCTGCATGGAAAAAAAACAAAAAACTGGTTTCACTTTCAAACAGATGTAATTTACCTTAAATAATTGTATCTCAATCTCTAAATTGAACTTTAATCACATACAGGAGGCTCTTGCAGGGTCTAGCAAGCTATTAACATAGCAGGGGATAAGAAAATCTTAATTAAACAGAACCTGCAATAAAGAAAGCCTAAATAGGGCTCTCTTTACAGGAAGTGTTTATGGAAGGCTGTGCAAGTCACATGCAGGGAGGTGTGACTAGGGTTCATAAACAAAGGGATTTAACTCCTAAATGGCAGAGGATTGAGCAGTGAGGCTGCAGGGGCATGTTCTATACACCAAAACTGCGTAATTAAGCTAAAGTTGTTCAGGTGACTATAGTGTCCCTTTAAAAAGTGAACTCACGTTTTCATAGGTGGAAGAGGTAGCATTGCTGATTATTTCCCTATAACGCTGCATGAAAGGGGCCAGACGTTCTTCTACTCGAGAAAGAGACTGAAGGACCTCTGAATATTCCGAGGGGGAAGGGTGACTGTCAGAGGAAGTGAGAATCATCATAAGTGGTGGCTCAAGGAGAAGAAAACACTGAGTAAAGGCAGATGGTAAAACAGATACAGGTAAGTAACTGACAATTTTGGGTTTACCTGGGAGGTGTTGCACCAGGTTGACCAGTTTGTCCCTCTGCACTAGGAGTGCTTGGAGCAGGGGTCTCCCCTACAGGAGCAGCTGTATCCATGGGCTCAGCGGGCTGCTCTGTACTAGCATTCCCCTGAAATGAACACATCTAGTATATTAGGCCTAGCCCTTTGATACTTTAAACAAGCAGGTTTATTCTGGAAACATGCATATACACAATATAATCAGCAATAGTGCCTAGCACATCAGACACACCAGATCTATTAAACGACAGCACAGATATTAACATTGCCACAACCCTATCCATTACAAAACAGCATATATTAACATTGCCACTCCCCCATTCATTACACGACAGAAGATATTACCATTGCCACTTCCCCATTGATTACACTCCAGCACAGATATTACCATTGCCACTCCCCCATTCATTACACGACGGCAGATATTACCATTGCCACAACCCTATCCATTACACACCAGCACAGATATTACCATTGCCACACCCCCATCCATTACACGACAGCAGATATTACTGCCACCCCCTCCTCCCATTACATGACAGCGGATATTACCATTGCCACACCCCCATCCATTACACGACAGCAGATATTACTGCCACCCCCTCCTCCCATTACACGACAGCGGATATTACCATTGCCACATCACCATCCATTACACGTACAATCAGTAATGTTATTAAAAGGGAAGTATTAAAGTTCCCAATTAAAGCACAAAACTAAGCTTTCAGATCAAGCAGAGGCTCAATCAATTAGGAGCCTTTCATTGCCTACAGGTTTTTATTTATATTCCAAACACCCATTTATCATGGTTTTATGGGAAATGTGCTTAAGCCCCAAGACACAGTTCCACTCATCACATCTGAATAGTGGAAATCAATAATCTAGCAGATGCCCTACCGTAACTGACAAAACCATATTCACCTCCTGGTTCACAGGTTTATGAACTGGCTGTGTGCAGCGGTCTCTCAATCCTTGGTTATTATGGTGATCAGAGTGAGCCTTTAATACTGCCACTCCACCTGCTCCCAACCATGACATTTAACACACAACAACAACAGACCAAGCATAACATGTACATACAGAGAATGTATTGGTAGCCACCCCCACCTTCCAGTTACATGCACAATCCCTGTTCTTACCTCCAGACGATCCAACAGCCTCTGTATGTCTTGCAACATATGTTGAGCCAGAAAAAGACGGATACGGGACTCGCTCTGCATATAGGGGCACAGACAGACAGAGAGAGAGAGAGAGAAAGGCGAAAGGGATGTAGAAAGGAGAGGAGATAGAGGGAAAGTTAGCAAGAAAAGGAGACAAAGACAGATGGACCGAAAAAGTGAAATGCACATTGGAATGGAAAAAAAGAAAGAAAAAAAAAAACGTGCAAGAGTGAGGAGAGGTAAATGGACAAACGGGAAAAAGAAGGATCCACGTTCGAGTTTAGTAGAAGAAAGATGAATCAGAAAATGTGAATGAGTAACCAAAAGAAAGAAGAAGCACCATGAGATAAAACAAAAATCAAATGAATTGTGGCGCATGATGGAGAAGGTGATCAGAAAGGTTGAAGTAGATTGGAAATAAAAAAAGATGAGAGAGCGAGAGAAAGAAAGAAGATAGAAGGTAGAAAAGGAGGAGGAAAAAGCAAGAAAAGTGTGTTAGATTTCCAGCTCCTTTATACAAGGATTGCCCTGATCAGGTGGGCTTCAGGGATAACAATTAAACCCTTCCAAATAACCCACAACTAGCTCAACAAACAAGATTTCTGATTAATAGAGTTTCTGGATAATTGGATTTGGCAATCGCCATTCCCAGGTCATAACAAACAGTATTTTATTATCAACAACCAATACTCCTATTAGTCAGGTCACAAATATAAGGCTGAAACTAAGTGGATGTTCTTTAGAACGCTCCATAAACCTTGTTTGATCGAGGAAATTAATTTGGAATTAAACATTTTTTGAAACAAATTGTCCTGTTTTGCGTTGCCAACAGAAGCCATTATTAGTCTGTGCATAAAACACAGCCAGAATTCTTATGTTGTAATACTCCAAGTATGTGAGCATTTAAGAAATCGGAGCACATAGTTAGAAACTTACATTTGCTGGCATGCATGCTTCAAATGACCAATGGTTGGCACCATGCAGTAAAACACATGCATGTGAGTGACAAAAGACAGGTGCTCGTTTTAGGCTTAATTCATATAGGGAACTGTGTGCCAGGTGACAGAATCAGCGGGCACATGAGATGACAGCACTTGTTCATACAAGGGGCAAAATTTGATATTTCTGCTGTTTCTCCAAGCCTAACATCTGACTTATTGCGTTCCTGTACCTGGCCCAGGAGCTGTTGATCCAGGTTTATGTGGACATCGAGAGAGGAGCCATCATTCTGAGCAAGAGAAGAAGAGTAGAGAGAGAGAGAGAGAGAGAGAGAGAGAGAGAGAGAGAGAGAGAGAGAGAGAGAAAGGCAAGAAGGATAACAGAAAAGAAATAAGAGTTTGGAAGAAAAGTCAGTGGTGTAAAACAGAACGGGTGTGAGGAAACATTTGGGAGCAGGCAGCATTAAGAAAAAAAGGCATAGATCAAGGAAAAATATGGGAAGAAGGAAAGAGGAGAAGGAGACAATGAAAGCAGAGGTGTAGGATGGAGATAGAGAGAGAAGGAAGGCACAGCAAACAGTAAAAATCAGAGCAATATTCCATAATTTTAATAAACATACAATGAGAGTGGGATAGGAGAAAGGATCTCAGAAACTGCATGCACATGTATCTACAAATGAATGCAGTGCATCAGGCATAAATAACACCAAAGGATGAAAGTTATACAACTCAGATATTAAAATAAACAACACACGTGTAAAGACCTCAGTCATAATACACAACACAGAGATCAAGAAGCAGTATTGTCACTGTGGGGGCATCCCTAACACATCATTCGTACCAGTTCTGATATGATTGATGAACAGTAATCCCACAACAGGTATAATTTACAGGCAAAGTGTGAGATTAGGTAATAAACCGAAAAACTGGACCTTAGACAGAGAACGGAAAAGGTGAAGTCACCAGGGTAAGAGAAAATAAAAAATAAAACTAAGGATCAGCGCTATTCAACCTAACTAAATTATAAGGAAAGGGCAGCACAGCTAAAACAAATGCTAACTGTCAAACCACATGCAAACTCATATTGGCAGGGGATACAATGAACTAATCAGCTAAATACTGCATACCTGGACGATCTTCACACTGAGCCTGAAACCTACACACCCAAATAAAAGACAAATTGTATTCCTGTCTCTTTAAATAATGGCATCAAACATACTTACTCCAGCAACTGAAGACACACGAGCACCTCTAGTAGCCTCACCAAGGCCTGACATTACATGCTGTAAAGACACAAAACAGAATGTCCAATCTAAATCATATTTTTATTATCTCATAAATAAAAACAGACTGTTCTTCTAAGGGAGATTTCTATAACAGGGTACTGAGCACAATTCCATACAGTTTACGGTTTAGGGAATAACACTGAATGTATCAACGAGTACAACAGCCTGCACTCCTCATCCTGATCAAAGAGATTAGCGAGCAAGGGTTTATTTACGAAAAACACATGGGGGTCTAGTGAAAAAAAAGAAAAGAAAAATTCAAACTTCAGGGCAGATTCGTCAAGCTGTGAATGTAAATTTGGAGATTTTTTTCAAAACTAGTTATTTTAAAAACTTTGTTCAAAATTTTGTAACTGTTTTAAATTCATTATAATGTGTTCTTCAGTGAATAAACACCACCATATTTTATAATTTTATTACACAGCGGAGAGTATTTTGTTCCCCAATTGTCACGATTATGGCTCTTTGAATATGAAACATGCGCTCACCGGTAAGTTAAAAGTCCCCACCATCACATAGCTGTTCCCATTTCTCTCGCTACCGGTGGCTCCTGGGCCACTTGCTGTGGTACTGCCAGTGGAGGTACTGGAAGAGGGAGCCGGTCCACCTGCAGCAGGCTGGGTTTGAGGAGGGGCCCGTTCTACAAGATGAATCACTTTCCCAGCTACATCTGCAGGAGTGAAAGAGACGGATCGGTAAAAGACAAATAAAACATGGAGCATAAAGATCAAAAATTAAACTGCAAAAAAAATATTATATATCTCAATAGATACTCCGGAATATGTGCTTTAGATCTCGATACTCACTGTATTCTTTTAGTTTCTTGTCTTCCTGTAAAACTCGACCCTGATATATGAGCCGCTGTTTCTCTGCGGGAATTCCAACCGCAGAGGATATGTGATCTTTAAAGTCTCTTACAGTGATCTAGAAGAAGAACATCTATTACAGTCCATTCTGTGGCAATTAGAGCTCAGGCACATATACACACACACCTACCAAATGGCAATAGTAGCCTTTCCTCAACAACACCATAAAATTGATACACTACACTGCAATAATTTCCCAAAAACACACAACTACTGCATACCATTGATACACCACAACCACATAGTAATAACAGCCTTCCACACATTGCACCATACCATCTACTAACCTGTTGCCTTAAATAAAAAAAAAACAGCATTTCCCAAAACACACAACCACCCACCATTTATACACTACACTCCTGTCTGAAAGTAATATTAACTCACCACAAAGAGCAAGTATTTCTACATTGTATAAATTCTAAATTAAAAAGACTCTTCTTCACTTTCAGAAAACACAATTCTTTTTACAATTATAAAACACATGGACATAAAATATAGAAATGATCTCTGACCCTGTTCACAATAGCACAGCATAAATGTAAAATACTAAAGACAAGGGGTGTGCTAGCATTGGCTGTGTGTGCTGATGACATACGATAAAACAGAATTAACATTATCCAGCTTGGAATCCTGGTTCCGAGCTGGCTAATAACACAACCAGTGGTGGCATTACATCTCTGGCTGCAGAGAGATTAAACTCTGATGAATGAATGCATCTCTATGAGGAAAATTCAGTATCCCTATTCAGAGGGTGGAGACGCTGAACGGCAGTGCTGCCCACTGTGCAGTATTGCCCCAAGAAACACCTCCAATGGCCATCTGAGTGGCCACTTGGAGGTGTCCCTAGGGGCAATGTAAACACTGCCTTTTCTCTGAAAAGGCAGTGTTTGCATCAAAATGCCTAAAAGGCATACAACTTCAATAAAAGGGACACTCCAGGCATCCAGACCACTTCTGCCCATTGGAGTGGTCTGGGTGCCAACTACCATTACACTTAACCCTGCAAGTGCTTTTATAAACTGCAATAATTACCTTGCAATGTTAAGTCCTCCTCTTAGAGGGACTTCTGGCTTCTTAGAACACGAAAAGTGTTTTAACCCCTTAAGGACCAAACTTCTGGAATAAAAGGGAATCATGACATGTCACACGTCATGTGTCCTTAAGGGGTTAAACAACGCTGGATGTCCTCACGTTATAAATGAAGATCTCCAGCATCGCCAAAATCCCCATAGGAAAGCACTGAATAATGCTTTCCTATGGGGAGGTCTAATGCACGCGGCCATTGCCGCGCATGTGCATTAGGTCTCCCCCACCGGCTGACGTCGGAACATTGGTGGAGCGTGACCCATCGACAAGGGACATCGGCGCTGGATTCAGGCAAGTCACTGAAGGTGTTTTAACCCCTTCAGCAACATGGGATGGGGGGTGGGAGGGAGGAGGGCACTGCAGGATCCTGCAGTGCCAGGAATATGGGTTTGTTTTCCTGGCACTGGAGAGTCCCTTTAAGCTATAGTTGTTCTGGTGACTATTACGTCCCTTTAATGAACCGGACAGTGAGCCAACGTTCCAATCAAACAAAAGCTTGTAACGTTAATGTCACATACATAATTTGGGTTTGTATGAAAATAAAGTACCCATGTGTCCAACATTACTAGGTAACAGTGTCACACAGTGCATACATTCACCGCGACATGCAAACACAACCCATCCGTACCTCTTCTTCCACTGTGAATGTTCGGCTCTGTGAATCCAGAGTTTTCACGGTCACCTCCATTTTCTCATTGGCTGCCATATTGCACCCTGGAACATTATTTGTAAGACCAGAAGATAACAGGGTTATTTCCATACATTCAAAGACAGAATAAGTACACCACCATGAGCACAGCAAACTGTTATTTTGCAAACAGCTGTGGCAGTTAACTTTTACAACACATGTTTATGAACAGTAATTTGCTACAGTTTTTATTTGAAAAATCTATTACTCATTCAGTTGCCTTGACCTTTTATATTACTAGAAGTTTTTAGGAAGACTGTCTGAGCCAAATTCAGAGTTGCTGCATAAACAAATAGAGAGTTAGGAAGCAAGACTGCAGGGGCATGATCTATACACCAAAACTGCATCATTAAGCTAAAGTTGGTTTAATGCCTATAGTGTCCCTTTAAAGGATCACTATATAATGTCAGGAAAACAAACTTGTTTTCCTTACACTATAGCATCCTTAGGATTCCCCCCCCCCCTTTGGCGCTGAATGGGTTAAAACCTCTTCAGTTACTTACTTTAATACAACGCCGGGCTCCTTCGTGCCGCACGCGCATTCAAACAGTCCATAGGAAAGCATTTCTCAATTCTTTCCTATGGACGTTCTGCGTGCTGGATGCGATTTTCGCATCCAGCATCGCAGAAGCGCCTGTAGTGGCTGTCAGGAAGACAGTCACTACAGGCTGGATTAACCCTGCAATGTGAACATAACAGTTTCTCTGGAACTGCTATGTTTACATCTGAAGGGTTTAAACCTGAGGGACCTGGCATCCAGACTGGTTCATTTAGCTGAAGTGGTCTGGGTGACTATAGTGTCCCTTTAATGTTAACTTTTTGTGAATCAATTTATCGCAAACTCTGGTTACAGATTTGTTTTTCTTTTCATAAATTTCAGTTTGGCCTCAGCAACCATAAGTGCATGTGTATAATTACCTCCCCCTGAAAGAGAATCTACAAACAGAAAGAAAATATTGCAGATAAGTGTGTAAGCCACTTACGTAACCCCTCCTGAGTAATTCTATATCTACATGCTTGTATATACATTGTAAACTAGTTTGAGCAGGGCTTGTGTCTGTCAACTTTTTACTTTACAATTTTTTTTGTCTGTCCATTTTTTGATGCTGTGTATCACCACTGCATCATTATAAAATATTAAGGAACATTTTGGCACTATATAAATGATGAGATAGATATATATAAAATAAAAAACACCTTTTGCATACTGATGTTACATTCCAAGGCTTTGTTTGTTTTTGTTTTTTTATTTCTCATATCACAAGAGATAAATCAGAATAGTGTAACACATTTTCATAGACATAAGGACACACATGCATAAAAACTTGAGATGTAAGAGAATGTTTGAAGAATAAAAAAAATAAACGTAAAGCAGTAGAACTTTACACAATCACACATAGACCACACGAGCGAACCAAGGTAAGAAATAGATATAAATGCTAGAAAAGCACTCTATTTGTATGCAGTCGCAGGGCCTGTATGAAATACAGGAGTAAGCTCCTTAAACATGGTAAGATACAGCCTATTCCTCTCTAACAGGCCTGAGCAAGAGATGAACTTGGATTAGAATAGGGAAACTATTGTGTTAGCCCCAGTGTAGTCGAGGGAAGCCATAATCCAGTCACCAACTTTCTAGGCTTTTTAATATTATCTTTAATTATAACAAATATATAGGGAATTTCTGTTGGTTAAAAATCTAATAAAAATGTAGGTATCCACTAATGTATTTCTCTCTTTTCTGGAACGAGGCAACTTGATCTTGACCAATGCAAATCATTTTTATAGATGTCGCCCTTTTATGATCATACTTAGGGTAAGAAAAGCACAAGAAGCACAGTTTCTGTTCTCCTCATATTCACTGTGCGTCCTGGTCTTACCTGGACTGAACTGGATTTCGGGGTCACTTCTTCAAAATATTTATTATATATATATATTTCAATGAAACATCATCACAGGGGTAGAATTTCCCTAGAAGTGACAGCTCTCCTTTAACATGTGCCGGTCATACTAAACTTAAATAGATCCACTTTATAGAAAACTAATTGCAACCTATATTTTGTTTTGTCTTACTGGATATCCAAAATATTTAATATGTTTCTATATTTCTAAATGTTTCATGTGTCCTGAATGACTACAAAATAAAAGAACAGAGAACCTAACTGCAAAATCTGGGTAAAAATTGCTTCCTTTGATAACTATCTGTACTATATCTTCACACGTGGCAAAAATCATTAATGAAGAAGAAGAATTCATTACTTATATCCAAATTGTAGCATCTGAATTCTTCACACTGCATATATTTTTATTCCCTGTCAATTTGTGCCCTGATAAACATGGCGAATACGCCAATCCTAGTCAAACCCACCACAGCACCATAATTCAGTCACATAAATACCACCAGGGCACAGGTGTAGACGGCTGTATTCAATGATGGCAATGTATGGTATGTATTTGCACCTTTTCCTTGTACAAAATATGTTCAGTATGTGGGTTCTCTTTCTTTTCCCACTCCATAGTATCCCATGGTAGATAATTATTCATTATTATAATATTTACATGACTATCCCAGTGTTGGCCTGGCTGGGGCTCTCCAGCTGCCACTGATCTCCATGATCCCAGCCTACAGTATCCCATGGTAGATAATTACCCATTATTATAATATTTACATGACTATCCCAGTGTTGGCCTAGCTGGGACTCTCCAGCTGTCACATATCACAATGATCCCCCCCACAGTATCCCATGGTATATAATTACCCATTATTATAATATTTACATGGTTATTCCAGTGTTGGCCTGGCTGGGGTTCTCCAGCTGTGACTGATCTCCATGATCCCAGCCCATAGTATCCCATGGTAGATAATTATTCATTATTATAATATTTACATGACTATCCCAGTGTTGGCCTGGCATGGGCTCTCCAGTTGTCACTGATCTCCATGACCCCCTCCCCCAGACCGCCGGTCTGTGTGATGGAGGCTCCCCGGGTCCCAGCTGTGTGATGGAGGCTCCCCGGGTCCCAGCCTCTCTGACCGCCGGTCTGTGTGATGGAGGCTCCCCGGGTCCCAGCTGTGTGATGGAGGCTCCCCGGTTCCCAGCCTCTCTGACCGCCGGTCTGTGTGATGGACGCCCCCCGGGTCCCAGCCTCTCTGACCGCCGGTCTGTGTGATGGACGCCCCCCGGGTCCCAGCCTCTCTGACCTCCGGTCTGTGTGATGGAGGCCCCCCGGGTCCCAGCCTCTCTGACCGCCGGTCTGTGTGATGGACGCCCCCCGGGTCCCAGCCTCTCTGACCTCCGGTCTGTGTGATGGAGGCCCCCCGGGTCCCAGCCTCTCTGAGCGCCGGTCTGTGTGATGGACGCCCCCCGGGTCCCAGCCTCTCTGACCGCCGGTCTGTGTGATGGACGCCCCCCGGGTCCCAGCCTCTCTGACCGCCGGTCTGTGTGGTGGACGCCCCCCGGGTCCCAGCCTCTCTGACCGCCGGTCTGTGTGGTGGACGCCCCCCGGGTCCCAGCCTCTCTGAGCGCCGGTCTGTGTGATGGACGCCCCGGAGGCTGTGTGATGGAGGCCGCCCCCGGCTGTGTGATGGGCTCCCGGGCTGTGTGATGGAGGCCCGGGCTGTGTGATGGGCTCCCGGGCTGTGTGATGGAGGCTCCCAGGCTGTGTGATGGAAGCTCCAGGCTGTGTGATGGGCCCCGCCCCCGGGCTGTGTGATGGAGCCCATGGGCGCAATGATGGAGGCCGCCCCGGGCTGTGTGATGGAGGCCGCCCGGGCGCTGTGTGATGGAGGCCGCCGGGCTGTGTGATGACCGCGGGCTGTGTGATGCTCAGGCTGTGTGATGGATGCTCCCGGGCTGTGTGATGGATGCTCCCAGGCTGTGTGATGGTCTCCAGGCTGTGTGATGGAAGCCGGGCTGTGTGATGGAGGCCCGCCCGGGTGGCTGTGTGATGGAGAGCCGCCCCGGGCTGTGTGATGGATGCTCCCGGGCTGTGTGGATGCTCAGGCTGTGTGATGGATGCTCCCAGGCTGTGTGATGGATCTCCAGGCTGTGTGATGGTCTCCAGGCTGTGATGGATGCTGGGCTGTGTGATGGGTGCCGGGCTGTGTGATGGATCTCCGGGCTGTGTGATGGATGCTCCCCGGGCTGTGTGATGGATGCTCGGGCTGTGTGATGGATGCTCCCGGGCTGTGTGATGGATGCTCCCTCCCCGGGCTGTGTGATGGGCTCCAGGCTGTGTGATGGAGGGGCGCCCCCCGGTCCCCGCTCAGGGTGATGTCAGACCTGCTCGGCCACCCGCCTCTCACCATGCCGGGTACATACCTTAAATCCCCGGTTCCCTTGGCAACCAGAGACACCGACAACCACAAAATGCTGCAACGAAGACAGCAGCAGCCGGTCCGCTTCCGGGTTCTCTGAGCGACTTCCGCCTCCGGGTCAACCGCCACTACGTCACTTCCTCCTAAAGCTGACAGGTGGGACATCCTATCGCCTGTATTTCCTGTGTGAACGCCTGGCAAGGCTCAGACCCCGCCCACATACTGACAGGGGGCGGGGCTTAACTCCCTGAGTGATACAGAGGATATAACACAGCCCTTATACAGAGGATATAGCACAGCCCTTATACAGAGGATATAGCACAGTCCTTATACAGAGGATATAGCACAGCCCTTATACTGAGGATATAGCACAGCCCTTATACAGAGGATATAGCACAGCCCTTATACTGAGGATATAGCACAGTCCTTATACAGAGGATATAGCACAGCCCTTATACAGAGGATATAACACAGTCCTTATACAGAGGATATAGCACAGTCCTTATACAGAGGATATAACCCAGCCCTTATACAGAGGATATAGCACAGCCCTTATACAGAGGATATAGCACAGCCCTTATACAGAGGATATAACACAGCCCTTATACAGAGGATATAGCACAGCCCTTATATAGAGGATATAACACAGCCCTTATACTGAGGATATAGCACAGCCCTTATACAGAGGATATAGCACAGCCCTTATACAGAGGATATAACACAGCCCTTATACAGAGGATATAGCACAGTCCTTATATAGAGGATATAACACAGCCCTTATACAGAGGATATAGCACAGCCCTTATACAGAGGATATAGCACAGCCCTTATACAGAGGATATAGCACAGCCCTTATACAGAGGATATAACACAGCCCTTATATAGAGGATATAGCACAGCCCTTATATAGAGGATATAGCACTGTCCTTATAGAGAGGATATAACACAGCCCTTATATAGAGGATATAGCACATCCCTTATATAGAGGATATAACACAGCCCTTATATAGAGGATATAGCACAGTCTTTATATGGAGGATATAGAACAGTCCTTATAGAGAGGATATAGCACAGTCCTTATATAGAGGATATAGCACATCCCTTATACAGAGGATATAGCACAGCCCTTATACAGAGGATATAACCCAGCCCTTATACAGAGGATATAACCCAGCCCTTATACAGAGGATATAGCACAGCCCTTATACAGAGGATATAGCACAGCCCTTATATAGAGGATATAACCCAGCCCTTATACAGAGGATATAACCCAGCCCTTATACAGAGGATATAACACAGCCCTTATACAGAGGATATAGCACAGCCCTTATACAGAGGATATAGCACAGCCCTTATACAGAGGATATAGTACAGTCCTTATACAGAGGATATAACACAGCCCTTATACAGAGGATATAGCACAGCCCTTATACAGAGGATATAGCACAGCCCTTATACAGAGGATATAACACAGCCCTTATACAGAGGATATAGTACAGTCCTTATACAGAGGATATAACACAGCCCTTATACAGAGGATATAGCACAGCCCTTATATAGAGGATATAACACAGCCCTTATACAGAGGATATAACACAGCCCTTATACAGAGGATATAGTACAGTCCTTATACAGAGGATATAACACAGCCCTTATACAGAGGATATAGCACAGCCCTTATACAGAGGATATAGCACAGCCCTTATACAGAGGATATAACACAGCCCTTATACAGAGGATATAACACAGCCCTTATACAGAGGATATAGCACAGTCCTTATACAGAGGATATAACACAGCCCTTATACAGAGGATATAGCACAGCCCTTATACAGAGGATATAGCACAGCCCTTATACAGAGGATATAGCACAGTCCTTATATAGAGGATATAACACAGCCCTTATATAGAGGATATAACACAGCCCTTATACTGAGGATATAGCACAGCCCTTATACAGAGGATATAACACAGCCCTTATACAGAGGATATAGCACAGTCCTTATATAGAGGATATAACACAGCCCTTATATAGAGGATATAACACAGCCCTTATACAGAGGATATAGCACAGCCCTTATACAGAGGATATAGCACAGTCCTTATACAGAGGATATAGCACAGCCCTTATACTGAGGATATAGCACAGCCCTTATACAGAGGATATAGCACAGCCCTTATACTGAGGATATAGCACAGTCCTTATACAGAGGATATAGCACAGCCCTTATACAGAGGATATAACACAGTCCTTATACAGAGGATATAGCACAGTCCTTATACAGAGGATATAACCCAGCCCTTATACAGAGGATATAGCACAGCCCTTATACAGAGGATATAGCACAGCCCTTATACAGAGGATATAACACAGCCCTTATACAGAGGATATAGCACAGCCCTTATATAGAGGATATAACACAGCCCTTATACTGAGGATATAGCACAGCCCTTATACAGAGGATATAGCACAGCCCTTATACAGAGGATATAACACAGCCCTTATACAGAGGATATAGCACAGTCCTTATATAGAGGATATAACACAGCCCTTATACAGAGGATATAACACAGCCCTTATACAGAGGATATAGCACAGCCCTTATACAGAGGATATAGCACAGCCCTTATACAGAGGATATAACACAGCCCTTATATAGAGGATATAACACAGCCCTTATAGAGAGGATATAACACAGCCCTTATATAGAGGATATAGCACAGCCCTTATATAGAGGATATAGCACTGTCCTTATAGAGAGGATATAACACAGCCCTTATATAGAGGATATAGCACATCCCTTATATAGAGGATATAACACAGCCCTTATATAGAGGATATAGCACAGTCTTTATATGGAGGATATAGAACAGTCCTTATAGAGAGGATATAGCACAGTCCTTATATAGAGGATATAGCACATCCCTTATATAGAGGATATAGCACAGTCTTTATATGGAGGATATAGCACAGCCCTTATATAGATGATATAACACAGCCCTTATAGAGAGGATATAACACAGCCCTTATATAGAGGATATAGCACAGCCCTTATATAGAGGATATAACACAGCCCTTATAGAGAGGATATAACACAGCCCTTATAGAGAGGATATAACACAGTCCTTATATAGAGGATATAGCACAGTCCTTATAGAGAGGATATAACACAGCCCTTATATAGAGGATATAGCACAGCCCTTATAGAGAGGATATAACACAGCCCTTATATAGAGGATATAGCACAGCCCTTATATAGAGGATATAACACAGTCCTTATATAGAGGATATAGCACAGTCCTTATAGAGAGGATATAACACAGCCCTTATATAGAGGATATAGTACAGCCCTTATATAGAGGATATAACACAGCCCTTATATAGAGGATATAACACAGTCTTTATATGGAGGATATAGCACAGTCCTTATATAGAGGATATAGCACAGTATTTATATAGAGGATATAGTACAGCCCTTATATAGAGGATATAGTACAGTCTTTATATAGAGGATATAACACAGCCCTTATATAGAGGATATAGTACAGTCCTTATATAGAGGATATAGCACAGTCTTTATATGGAGGATATAGTACAGCCCTTATATAGAGGATATAGTACAGTCTTTATAAAGAGGATATAGTACAGTCCTTATATAGAGGATATAGTACAGTCTTTATATAGAGGATATAACACAGCCCTTATATAGAGGATATAGCACAGCCCTTAGAGAATATAGCACAGCCCTTATATAGAGGATATAGTACAGTCCTTATATAGAGGATATAGCACAGTGCTTATATATAGGATATAATATAGCAATTATAGTCTTTTTAGAGGATATTGTACAGTCCTTATAGATGGGATATAGCACAGTCTTTATACAGTATAGCACAGTCCTTATATAGAGGATATAGACTAAACTGAAGTGGCCATATAGGTAGTGCCTCCAGACCAGGGTGGACAATTCCCAACCAAATCGCCTTTGTTCTTCAACGACCTGTGTCTGTAGTGTTTGGAGTGTCCCTGCATCATCTCTGACCCGAGAATTCTTCCACAGTATTATTAAACAGTACAGACGGCTGAAATCTGGACCAAACGCTTCTAATCCGGGCCTGGATTTAAAAAAATCGGAACTATTTGCCTGCTCTCTGCCAACAAATGCAATTCTGTCAATAGGAATATGCTAAGAATTGACTTTAGCCAATTTTTCAACTTCCAATTTTTCAACATTTAAATATTCATTCCATGATATTCAAGTTAACATTTTATAATGGTAAATCATAGAAGCATTTATATTTAAGTACCCTTAGTATAATATAGTATCTAAGTTAATAGCTGTAATGTCGAAATTTATAACAGTGAAAGGTAATTATTCTTTGTAAAATTGTGTAGTAATAGAAAGATTGAAACCTTTTCATACTGGTGAATAGGGCTACAATAGGGTGTATTTAAGCAATGATGATACAAAGCTAATATGGCAAGAACTAAGGTTAAGTCGAGAAGCTATGTTTTGTGGGTTTTTTTTTGTTTTTTATGTTAAATTAAGTTAAATTAAGGTCTTAGAGGTTTAGAGAAGTATATGAACCTAAGCGATGAAATGCTGATAATTAGTGATGCTCCGAACGGTTCGCCGAACGGTTCGCGAACGGTTCGCCACAAACGGTTCGCCACAGACTCATCATTGAGTAAACTTTGACCCTGTACCTCACAGTCAGCAGACACATTCCAGCCAATCAGCAGCAGACCCTCCCTCCCAGACCCTCCCACCTCCTGGACAGCTCACTAAGAATGCAGCTTCAAAATTAATGTAAAATGGATGCTGTCCAGGAGGTGGGAGGGTCTGGGAGGGAGGGTCTGCTGCTGATTGGCTGGAATGTGTCTGCTGACTGTGAGGTACAGGGTCAAGGTTTACTCAATGATGAGTCCGTGGCGAACCGTTCGTGGCGAACCGTTCGGGACATCACTACTGATAATGATTACAATAAGTCGGCTAGCAACATTGCTAAGCAGTAGAGTTTTGGATAATGGCCTAGCAGCATGGCTCACTCCATACGACCCCCCTTAGGGGATGTTTAATGGAGGCTAATATATTGGCTTTCCACTACATTCCACGTTATACCCTCCCATATGAGAGTACATGTATATATATTTTTTTAGGTTTATTAAGTTTTCACAAATTATCCTCAGTCATATCCCTCACCCCTAGACAACAACAGATAGCTCTCTGTAAATTCATGACTTCTAAACGAAGGAAACGAGTGAAAGAAAATAGTTTTGATAAAGGGCGAATTTTAGCCATGTTTGTTGACATTGCAATCATTCATAGAGCAATGGTGTTCATTTTTTTTCCTCTCATTATGTCTCATCAATTTAAATGTTTATCGTTGAACGTAAATGGGCTTAATAATCCTTTTAAGAGACGCTCAGTGATTCGGGAAATCCACCAGTCAAGGGCCGCTATAGTCTGTCTACAAGAATCGCATCTTTGTAAGCATAATACTCCCATTTTCGAATCAGCTAAATAGCCCCAAATCTTCCATGCCCTCTCTCCGCAAAAATCAGAAGGAGTAGCAATACTATTTCATGAGGACTGGGTATTTCATCAAGATACAATCTTTAACGATGAGATGGGCAGGTTATTGATTGTGGTGGGTATTCTAAATGGAATGCAGATTACAGTTGCTTCATTATATGCTCCAAATAATTCTCAAGTTTCGTTTTTGTCCAAGGCGTTTAATAAGATAATCCATTTACATAAGGGAAACATTATAGTATGTGGGGATTTTAACTGTACGTTAGATCTGGTCCTGGATACTAAAAGGCCTAAAGGGAAACCCCCGCTGTACCAGGCTATTCTTCTTAGCCACAAATTTTCAACACTCTTACATTCACATGATCTGTATGATACTTGGCTCTGTTTACATCCAGCAGCTGAGGATTATACATACTTTTCATCAGCCCAGTGCTCATAATCTTGTATAGATATGTGTCTGGTAGCTAAAAGGACCATAACCAATGTAATAGATGTGAAGATTGGGGTCAGGTCATGGTCAGATCATGCACCGGTTGTCACTACCTTTAAAGCTTTATACCCAGCTAGAGGAAGTACATGGCGTCTTAATGAATCTCTTATGAGCGATTCAGGTCTGGTGGAGACAATACGTAAAGCAATACAAGTATTTTACATTGACCATGTCAATGATACATCGCGTATAGATATACAATGGCTAGCATTAAAAGCTGTTATAAGGGGACTTTTCATTAAAGCCGGATCAATATTTAAGAAAAAGACAGATGTGAACAGAGAACGACTCAGGCCCAGAGGAGGCGGGCTGAAAGCTAGCCGGATAGGAGGCATGTGTGGGTGTGGTGGGTGTGGTGGAAGTATGGGTGTGTGATTTAGCTAAGGAGTAGGGTGGGGTCATATAAATAGGTGACATTTTGTCTGCTACCTCAGCCATCTTAAATTTAATGGCAAGGTAACTAGTCCCCTGTGCTAGCCTTTAGTTACTTTGCTTACCTCACGGCCAGGAGCATGGATATTGAAGGCATCCTTGCTGCCCTTAGGGCTGAGGCCCTCCAGGACGGTGGCAGGCACCTGCAGGCCCAGCTGGCAAGGCTGCAGGGTGCCTCTGTGGTAGCTGCTCCCCCTCCCGGCAGCCATGGAGCTCCGCGCCGCCGGGCGCGTCCCCCCACCCGTTATAGCCCCTCACGGGAGGGCCGGGTGGGGGCCAGAAGTAGGAGCCCAGCTGCCGGTCCGCGGGCCGGTTCCCACGCGGCCGCGGCCGGCGCTGACACCAGGCATTCTCCTGCCTCCTCCCCGAGCCCCTCACAGGAAGGCTGGGTGGGGGCTGGAGGCAGGAGCACAGCTGCCGGTCCGCGGGCTGGTTCCCACGCGGCCGCGGCCGGCACATCTCTGCAGCCTCTCTCCTCCTCCCCGAGGCGGTCGCGCAGTGCCCGTCTGGCGGCCGCTGCTCGGGGAGGTGACAGCCGCCCAGGACCTCTTACCATCGGCTCGCGGGCCCTCAGAAGGGCGGCCGCGAGCTCCCGGTCGGCTAATCCAGCCCGGCCGGCGCGCCGGGTGCCTGATTTGCGCTCTGCCCCCTCCGGATCTCGGGCAGGGCGCGCACAGGTTGGGCCTGCATCCACCTCTCCTTCCAGGGCGGTAAGTGGGCCGCAGGCCACCGGGGATTTCGGGAGGGGGTTGGGGTGTTCGGGGGGTAGGGGCCCAGCGCCAGGCCCATCTTTCAACTGTCACAGCCCCCCCCCTTCTCCTTCTCCCCCCTCTGTCTCCCCTGGGCCTGCCTTTCCTGCACTCCCACTACCCTCATCCGTCCAGCCACTCACACTACCCTCATCCGTCCAGCCTACCCACTTGTATTCCCCCCTCCCCCTCCCACCTTTACCTAGGGCCCATGGTAACCCCCCTGGGGCTACCTCAGGCATGGCTATCCCAATCCCTGGTTCCCCTGTCCCACTCTCTGGTGCCCCTGTCCTATCTACTAATTTGCCAGGGTTCCCCCCCCCTACTGCGCATCTTCCAGCACCTGGGACGGGTGGGTCGGGTTTTTTCTCACCTGTCCTGTCTTCGCAGATTCTTCCAGGTCAGCTCGCTAACCGGGTCCCTGACGCTGTGTCTGGTGCGGTGCTTCCTGCGGTCGCAGTTCCCTCGCAAGTCGCGGTTCCGCTCCTACCCTCCAATTCGGCTCCTGCCGGTGAGTATTCTGCTTTTGCCGGATCAGAATCAGGGGGCGCTGGCGCACGCGAGTCGCAAGAATGGGGTTCGGTGCTCCAAGCGATAAGGAATGCTCTTGTAACTCTTGAGCGGGGATCTCGCCCTGGGGCTCCCCCCCCAACGGCCGTGGATAGCCAGCTTCGGGCGGGCTGGGCTAGTTCCGCAGGATGTGAGGTTGCGGGGGTTGCGGCAGCGTTACCCGACGCTTCTACGCAGGTCACCATCCCTCTGGCTGCGGCGCCTCCGCTAGTAGCATCTGAGTCTTCAGCGAGTCCTACGGGGGTCACCGCGGTTGTCTCGGGTTTAGGGGTAGCACCCGCTGCGCATGGGGCAGCGTACATGTCCTGGTCAGGCCCTCTGGGCCTCCATCTGACGCCTGATTTGAGGGCTAAAATAGAAAAAGGAGAATTTGTTGAAATTTTTTCCCTCCTCCCTTTGGAAGATCTTCCTCGGGTGGATGCAGATGCAAAAGAGTCTGAAAAAGACAAAGAGAAGTTTCGGTATCGGAAGATTCCGAAAACGTTTGGTAACTGGATTAGGGCCTTTTCTATCCTAGCTAGCGTGATAGGTGAAAAGACTCCCAGTAAATGCTCTTCCCTATTTTGCTACCAGGACATGATATGGAATGCCTGTCGGGTTTATGGCGGGCTAGGGTGGTGGCGGTATGATGAACAGTTCCGCCAACGTTTGGCGGTTCGCCCTTCCACGAGTTGGGAGCAAATGGATATCGGCTTGTGGTTGGCCATCATGACCCGCCCAGCTTCGCATCAAGGGGGCCTTTCGTCCTTTCTTGGGGGGGCCGGCGCTGGGTCCTCATCTTCAGCGTCAGCCACTCAGCGGAGGACTGGGTACTGTTGGCAATATAACGAAGGCCAATGTAAGTTCGGTTCCGCCTGCCGCTTCAAGCATGAATGTTCCGGGTGCGGCGGTTCCCACCCAGCATCGAAATGCTTCAAGCGAGGTAGGACCGGCGACAAAGGAGATGCCATGGGCGCTAAGGGCGAGGACGCCGGTGGACGTAGACGCGATGCGCCCTTGGCTAAAGTGTTATAGCAATAAGAAGGCGGCTGCCTTGTTATTGGAGGGTTTTGGACAAGGGTTTTGGATCCCTCACCGGGCCCGGCAGGTCTCCGGCTTCTGCCGGAACCTGAGATCAGTTGCCGATCACCCGGGGGTGGTAAGGGAAAAATTGGCTAAGGAGGTAGCGTTGGGTCGCATGGCGGGCCCCTTTCGAGAGCCTCCACTACTCGATTTGAGGGTTTCACCACTGGGTGTGGTACCCAAAAGGGAACCAGGCAAGTTTAGGCTGATTCACCATTTATCGCATCCTCAAGGGGGCTCGGTGAATGATGACATTGCCGCTGAATTGTGCCGCGTTTCCTACGCGTCCTTTGACGCGGCGGTGGATATGGTCAGGGCTGCTGGCCCCGGGGCACTTATGGCAAAAACGGACATTGAGTCGGCTTTTCGCCTCCTACCGGTTCACCCGGAGTGCCACCACCTCCTGGGTTGTATATTCGAAGGTCATTATTACGTGGACATGTGCCTCCCGATGGGTTGTGCGATATCCTGTTTTTACTTCGAATGTTTTAGTTCCTTCATGGAATGGGTAGTTAGAGCGGAATCCGGTTACGATTCCTTGCTTCACTACCTGGATGACTTTTTCTGTGTTGGCCCTGCGCGCTCCCCGATATGCGCGCACCTCCTGCAAGCAGTAGCGGATGTTGCTTGCGAGTTCGGAGTGCCGCTGGCACCAGAAAAAACAATTGGCCCTTCTACGTGCCTGTGCTTTCTCGGGATCGAGATTGATTCCGTTGTTGGTGAATGTCGGCTTCCATTGGATAAATTGGCTGATCTTCGGGAGGTGGTGCGAGTGGCGACCACTTTGCGAAAAATTACGTTGCAGCGACTTCAATCCCTATTGGGCAAATTGAACTTTGCCTGTCGGATTATGCCGATGGGCAGGGTGTTCAACCGGCGCCTGGCGGCCGCTACGGCTGGGATTTTGAAACCGTCTCACTTCGTCCGCTTGACCAAGGCGCTCAGGGAGGACTTGGCAGTATGGGCAGTCTTTTTGGATGGGTACAACGGCAGGTCCTACTGGCAGCAGCCCGAGGTGACGAACTCGGTGCTGCACCTGTTTACGGATGCCGCGGGGTCTTCGGGCTTTGGGGCTATCATGGGAAGGCAATGGTGTGCGGAGCCCTGGCCCGAATCGTGGTTCACCTCTGGCCTGACCAAGAACATGGCTTTCTTGGAACTCTTCCCCATTGTGGTGGCTATCCATCTTTGGGGGCCAGAGATCAAGAACAGGCGTGTTGTGTTCCACTGTGACAACCTGGGCGTTGTCCAGGCCATTAATAGGCTAACGGCCTCCTCCCCTCCTGTAGTTCGGCTCTTGCGGCGCTTGGTTTTACAATGTCTGTCTTTTAATGTGACTTGCCGCGCTGTGCATATCCCTGGTGTGGAGAATACCACGGCTGATGCTCTTTCTCGTTTCCACTGGCAGGTGTTTCGTTTGGCCGCGCCGGAAGCGGACACGGAAGGCCTCCCCTGTCCCAGAGACTTATGGTCCCTTGGCCTGAGCGGATAAGGGAATGGATTCGGTCTTCGGTGTCTGAGGCAACTTGGGTTCGGTACGGTAAGGCATGGGGGGACTGGGTTGCTTTGGAACAAGACCTAGGTGGGTTTGATTCGACCTCTGCAAGGGTTCAGGGGATCTTACGGTTGCTCTGGTTCTGGGAGGCTAGCGGGTGTTCTCCGGCTACGGTTTCAGGGAAGCTATCCGGTCTTAGTTTCTGGTTCAACTTGACTAAGGTGCCTGACGTTACCAAGGACTGCATGGTTCGGCTTGCGATGCGCGGCTGGCGCAAGGGCCCACACCTGCGGGATTCTCGGAGGCCGGTTTCTGGCGCTCTGCTAGTAGGCATTGCGTCGGTCTTACCCAGGGTTTGTTTTTCAGATTCGGAGGCACGTTTGTTCCAGTTGGTTTTTACTTTCGCCTTTTTCGGCGCCCTTCGAATCGGTGAGCTTGTGAGCCCTAGCAAACGGATCCCGGGGGGCTTGTTGTTCAACGATGTGTCTGTGGTGTCGGATTCAGTGCATTTTTTGGTACGAAGGTCCAAAACCGACATCTTCGGCAAAGGGGCATGGGTTACCCTCCGCGCTATTCCGGGTTCGGCTGTCTGCCCTGTCGCATCTTTTCAGTCTTATTGTCTTGGTCGCCCGGACGTTGAGGGCCCTCTACTAATTCATGGGGACGGTTCCTTCCTTTCTCGGTTCCAATTTCTTCGGGTCTTTCGGTTGGCACTCGACCAACTGGGTATTTCGAGTGCAGACTTTGGGGGACATTCTTTTCAAATTGGGGCCGCAACTGAAGCCTCCCGTTTAGGTTTTTCGGACCAGGCCATTCAGAGGATTGGCAGATGGGAATCGGGGAGGTTTCGGTCTTATGTACGGCCCACACGTTTGATCGGTGTCCCCCTTGTGTTTTCTCCACAGGGCCTGGCCGACGGATCTGGTTGATCGGTCATTCGTACATCTACTGGGCTCACCTGCGGGCTGGGGGTACGCCCGGGTGGGACACGGCTCGGAATACCTCGGGAGCTGGCGGAAGTCCGGTGGTTCGGGTTCCGGGGCATGAGATGGGGTCAGCTATTACCGTAGGTCGTGCAGTTATCCACTTTATTAGGAGCCCCGGACATCTTGGGGTGCATCTGGGGGGGAACGATCTGGGGTCCCTGCCTGCGTGGGGGCTGGGGGAACTCATCAGGCGAGATTTGGCGCGCTTGCGTGTGCTTTTTCCACGACTTTGTTTAATATGGTCTGATATAGTTTCTAGGAACTATTGGAAGTGCGCACGCGATCAGGGTGCTATTGAGCGCTGCAGGGTCAAGATTAATAAGCGGGTTTCCAAATTTGTCCTAGGCGTCGGGGGCTTAACAGTGCGACACCGTATTTTTGAGCGCTAGGCAGCAATCTATTTTCGCCCGGACGGGGTCCATCTAACTGACGTAGGCTTGGACTTATTTAATTTAGCGCTACAGGACGCGTTGGAACAGGCCATGGCGTTGCTTGGGGGTCGCGCCCGCTGATTTAGGCATAAATGCAGCTGGGGCTAGTGGCGGGTATGGTCCTTGCCGAACCTATTGGGAAGAGGAGTACAGAGAAAGAAAGATGCTGGGTCGGGTCCCTCCCCTGACCTCGAAAATGTTTTGGGTATTTGGGCGTGCCCTCCGTGCCAGGAAAGGTGGCCAGGGGTTGGCATGTGGAGTTTGAAGGCCAAAGTGAAGGCCAGGTATCTTGGACGAGGGGGGAGGGCCGATGGCTTGGTGGGGGGTGTACCCTAGAGTTTTGGTGGTACGGTTGGCAAGGACTAGTTTGAAGATAAGCATACTTACACCTAAATTATTTATGGTTGGTTTATTTACAGTTGTTTGTTAATTTATAAATAAAGCTGTGGCCTTTTTATACCACATATACGTTTCCTAGTTTTATTGGGGGGGAATTGAGCGATTTTGGGGATTGTTATGGTTCACACCACACGATAACCGCTACCTACACACAAGGCCCAGAGGAGGCGGGCTGAAAGCTAGCCGGATAGGAGGTATGTGTTGGTGTGGTGGGTGTGGTGGAAGTATGGGTGTGTGATTTAGCTAAGGAGTAGGGTGGGGTCATATAAATAGGTGACATTTTGTCTGCTACCTCAGCCATCTTAAATTTAATGGCAAGGTAACTAGTCCCCTGTGCTAGCCTTTAGTTACTTTGCTTACCTCACGGCCAGGAGCATGGATATTGAAGGCATCCTTGCTGCCCTTAGGGCTGAGGCCCTCCAGGACGGTGGCAGGCACCTGCAGGCCCAGCTGGCAAGGCTGCAGGGTGCCTCTGTGGTAGCTGCTCCCCCTCCCGGCAGCCATGGAGCTCCGCGCCGCCGGGCGCGTCCCCCCACCCGTTATAGCCCCTCACGGGAGGGCCGGGTGGGGGCCAGAAGTAGGAGCCCAGCTGCCGGTCCGCGGGCCGGTTCCCACGCGGCCGCGGCCGGCGCTGACACCAGGCATTCTCCTGCCTCCTCCCCGAGCCCCTCACAGGAAGGCCGGGTGGGGGCTGGAGGCAGGAGCACAGCTGCCGGTCCGCGGGCCGGTTCCCACGCGGCCGCGGCCGGAGCTGCCATCAGTCATCCTCCTGTCTCCTCCCCGAGCCCCTCGCGAGCAGGCCGGGTAGGGGCTGGAGGCAGGAGTCAGGCTGCCGGTCCGCGGGC